AAACTTTCTTATCGTTTCATCAACTTCAAATACTACTGTCTACAGACTTATTTTTAACCCATAAATAGATTTCTACATGCGGCATCCCATACATTCTTTTTCTTCCACGACAAAACCTTTGGGCTGTGCCATGTTAATGTTTTCATACAAATCCCTGTTGAGGAATGTTGTCTTTACACCCATCTGATGTAACTCTAAATTGTAATATGCCAATAACACCATTTTGATTCTAAAGAATCATTGCATGAGTCTGGAGAGAAAACTCTCATCGTAATATATTCATCCTCTTTGCTTAAAGCCTTTTGCTATAACTCATGCTTTATATCTTTCTACATTTCCTTTAGAATCATATTTTGTCTTATAGATCCATTTACAGCCTAGTGTTTTGGCTCCGTTAGGAATTTCATCTAAGTCCCAAACATCATTGGTATTCATCGAATTTATTTTAACTTACATAGTTTCTTGTCATTTAAACGAGTAAATGCTTCTCATGGCTTCTTCAAATGAGGTGGGATCACCCTCTATTTGAATTTCTTTACTAACATAGACTTTATAGTCATCAGAAAACTGGTTGACTAATTCTTTGAGACCTTCTGGGGCCTCAGCTACTGGCACTTTCATATGGGGCTATTGTTGCTCTTTATTGCCAAGAGACAATTGATTCTACGGGCTCCTGTATTACAAGATCCTTGTTTATATTATTCATCTTCTTCGAAGAGCTAACAACATATGTTGTTTTAGTCATACAACATCAACAGGTATTGAGAAACTTGTTGCTCCTGAGTCACTAGAGTGGGCACGCAGTCCCTCTTCTCTTGAAATCTTAGGCCTCTACATACCTCTATATACCATGCTTTTCCAAATCTTTCTATATTTTCTAAAGATAGTGTATCTTCAAATATCTTATTTTAGGTTTAATATGTTAAAACCTCATATGACGCTTTAAGCACCACCTTAATATCTTTGAGGCTGACTACGCTATCTTCCTGTCGGAACTTTAAAAGGTCAAGAAATTTAGCTATTTCTCTGTTTAGGGGTATCATTGTTATGACCGTTATACTCCTCCAATGGTTGTATTCATCTTAATTAACCTTTATCTCACTCTTAATGAAGAGTATCTTTCTTAATTGATCTTTATCTCACTCTTAATGAAGAGTATTATTCTTAATTGATCTTAATATTCTCCCTCTCGAAATATGGCATGAACCTTACTGCCATAATTTTCGAGAACTATTTAGAAAAACTTGTGAACGAGGAGACACTTATAACTTACTTCATTCACATGATTATGTCATGTAAACAAAGTTATTTCTTGATCCGTTTAGGAGTAAACTTTCCTTATTTCACTTCAATAACTCAACGAGGTCTTTCATTAACAATACCATTTTGCAAGTCACGCTTGCATCTTTTCTTATCTTTTGGTTAGTATTGACCATGACGATGTATTTCTATTGTGCCACGGTCAATACTAGGATAGCATAAGAGCTACCCAAACTTCTCTCGCTATGCGGGATACAAAATATATGAATCATCACAAAACTTCTCCCGCCATGCAGGATGAACTAGCTTAAGTACTATGCTAAACTTCTCCCCACACGGGATAAATCTATATACAAACATGCATGTTTAATCCAACGTTGGTCAAATTAGACATGCATGTTACTTATTGCAACTTTTATCATAAAACATTCACTTATACTTTATTTTTCAATTAAATCTTCCTGTTGGTTCTAATTTAATCAAAAAATTAGTAAACTAACAAAAAATAGTCCTGAACTAGCTTGACTTAAGCCTTTTTTATTCACATAGCCCAGCATTGCAGCCTGTTGGTATGCAGCCGAGTGATCTCGGTTAAAATCAAAACATGCTAGGTGCTTCTGCATCAATTCTACATCACCGTTGGACAGAAAATAGAATTAATGTATAAAACTCATAAATTAACTTGAAATACATATAACTACTCTTCAAAATTAAATTCTTCCATTGGTTCGAATTTAATGAGAAGATAATGAACACTTCGTCACAGCGAAAACATGTTAATAAAATACATTCTATTAGTTTAGGAGCATTTCTTGGTCCTTATCTACTATCTGAAAAATTGACCACGTTGGTGTAAAATTTATCAGATATTTAAACCTCAAACTTGAATTCATTACAACATTGTCATCATCACATTGGTCAGAAAATGACAATACCACAATCTGACTTAAATAAAACGGACTACTTCTCTAATTTAAATTTTTCCGTTGGTTCTAATTTAATTAGAGGATAAACATAATCATAATTTACTAAATATTACTGCTCTTCAAATTAAATTCTCCGTTTGTTCGAATTTAATTAGAAGATAATCAACATTAAACTTTGCAGCGGAAACATGAAAAAATTCTGTATCTACTTTTCAAAAGCATTTTACTGTACTCATCTACTCTCTGGAAAAATTATCCCGTTGGTTCAAATTTTGACAGAGATTTAAACTTTCAAATTTGACTAAAATTCATCTAAAAATTGCTTCTGAAAATAATAAAACTAAATACAAGACTGTTACTATGCATTTTGGCCCGAAGGCCCAGCTCGCGCAGCGGCCCACGGCCACTCCCACACGGCCTAGCGGCTCACTTGCGCGCTGCCTCGGCCCATCTCAGCATGGTGCTGGCCGCACAGGCCGCAACCTGCGCCTAGGCCCCACATTGCCCTTTGGGCCTTTCTCCTCCCCCCCCCCCGCAAGCCCAGATAAGGTTGGGAGAATTCTCAGCCGCAGATCAAGATCGGATGGCCGAGCTTCATTTCTGGAGGAACAAAAACGGCGCATGGCCGGCTCCCCCAAAACCCTAAGACCATTTCTTCTTTCTCCTTCTGTTTTTCTCACAACCACAACCAGCCGCCGGCGATGCCAGACGACGGGACGAGCGTGAGGCAGAAAAGTTGGTGGCGCCGTCGTGGATCCCTTCGCCGGAGCTAGCGTGCGTCCGTCGCGCGGCTATGTCGAATGGTCTCACGGAGGCGTGCGCGCGGCCGGGTTGTCTTCCCACGACGTCCAAAGGACGGTGGCGGTGGCGACCGGCGGCGCGGACACAGGTAAGTCTGCCGGTGCTCTTTTCTTTGCTTGGGTTAGGGTTTCTATTAGGGTCAATTCAATTCGTTCTATTTCTTGATTTCTTTTCACTTTTCTACCCCGATATAGATCTACACACTAGAAAAATCTGGCTCTGATATCATTGATGGATCTGAAAGTACTTCTAGACGTAGATCAGTGGGTAATACTTAGCTTAGATAGAAGACTTGGGTCGCCAAGCACAGTCGCGGCCATGGCGCCGCCAACATGGTGGCCGCGAAGGCAGTAGAGGTAGCCGTCAACGCGCCCGCCAGGTCGTCGAAGGTAGCAGCAGCACAAGCGCGGTGCTGTGGCGGCGGTGAAGGCGATGGAGCTTCCCGTCGCTTACAACGTCCCTCTCGATCAGTCTAGGGTTAGGAACTTCGGTGGTGCGTTGGCGGCTACAGTGAACCTCATGTCTTGTGCCCCAGCCCCCACCGTCCTTTTATGGCGCTGCGCGACAGGGGCCCATCAGCCAGTAGAAAGGCTGAGCGTCCCCGATCAGAGCACGGATCAAGGGCCTAGCCAATTGGTGGAGATCAACCTAACCATTATTAGTCCATAAAATTTTGGTTTTCAGATGTTTGTTTTGATCAGGTCTTTTCTTTTGCAGGCCGTGATCAACTATGGTGCCTCATGGTATGCCCCTCTTGTCTCTTGCTTGTGTGGAGACGTTCATTTTTCTTTTCTTTTTTGAAATAAGCTGCATACATCATAGTTGTATATTCCTATGGCTCGGGCCTTAATCTGTAGGCTGCCTGATGGCTTGCATGCTAACATTTGTAAAGGACAAGATCATGGAAGTCTAAAATTCTGCTTACACTGATGAACATATCTGGTGATTCAATTTGCTTGTCCACTTGATTCTGCATGATCAATCAAACTCACTCCTCCTTATACGTAGGTGCCGTGTTTGCAGCCAGATTCTTCCATCCTTCTGCAAGTCCAGTGATAAGTTCAAGAATCTTACTTTCATATATGCGGACATTGACGAGTGCCCTGAAACAACGCAAAACATTTGCTACACCCCAACCTTCCACTTCTACAGAGACGGAGAAAGGGTTGATGAGATGCTTGGCACAGGAGAAGAGAGGCTACATGATCGGCTATGGTTGCATTCTTGATTGATAGGCTTCCACTTCCGTTGTTTCATGAACCATTTATGCTGAATGCAATTTTATGTTTTCCACCCAAATTTCTATGTACCAACACAGTTCTATTGTCAAACCCAGTGTTTCGGAGAACTTTTTGTCTACATTTGTTAGTCATGGATAATTTACTGTCTGAGTGCCTGGTATCCGTGAGAGTGAGTGTGCTAGTTGGGGTGGGGGGGGGGGGGGGGGGTATTAATCAATGATTATTCCAATTTAAGATCATATAGTTCTAGTCCTATTCATTCAAAAGTCGAGTGGTGAATACAACATATAACAAAGTTGGGTCATCAGGTGTACTGCTTGATCGAACCAGAAGACAGTAGCCATAAAAGGAAAAATGGCCCCGGCTCACAGTTTCGATGACCCTCATCTGGGACACGATGGATAGTGTTTAAAAAGAGCACATAACTGTCATCCAATTGTCTATATGTACACCAGCTACATTGCTCTTCCAATTTGAGATTAAAGAAAGAGCATCCACCTACATGCTTCTTAAATTAGTGATTACATCACAGATAAGTAAGCTATGCACGATAGCCAGATTTCAGATGTGACATTACAAATGCCTTGTTCTGGCACAAAAAAGGGAGGAAATTACAGGATCTAGGAGATTTCATCTAAATCTTCTTTATCCTAAAACAATTGGCAAATGTCCAATGCAAATTGTCCAGCACACACTAGCAGATGGTCCAACCAAATGAACACCTTCATCAGTTAAAGGCAGCCAGGCCCCTAGAGAAATCAGCAATCAGTGATCATGATGCAGCAACATTAGGCTTCAGAGATTTTTTCAGCTTCGAGGGGCCAGGTCTAGTTCGACTTCTGTTACGTTCTGCCTTAATGGATGCAATCACAGCATCTGCCCCAGGACCAAGGCCTTTCCTGCCAACTAATTTCACCCCCAGTTTTTCACAGAGGTAGTGCAACCTCATGTCATCGCCTCCTCTGACCTCCCTTAACTCCATAGCTTGCTGTCGTGATAGCAATGTGTAAACATAAAGCTGTTGTTGCTGGTTAAAGTGTGACTCGAGCTGCTGAAACAACAATTTGTTTGAGTGGTTCTGTTCCGTCTTTACCCCTTCAGTTGCATTTTTCTTCCGCGCCGCACCTAATTCCACCTTTAGAATAGCTGGGGATTTCGGATCAGAAGCTTTTCCTCCAAAAATAACAGAGAAGCTTCCAAACTCCAAATCTGGTTGCCTAAACAAGTCCGTTAATATAGCAGCACAAGCCTGTGTGTTTGTCGATGGACTTTTGTCTACTTTACTCTTTGCCGCCCGGGCATTGGCATGCAATGTGATGTTAGCAGCCTCCCGCAAACCACTGATAAAAGCACCATGCATTGTTGCTGGATAACGCCTCATGGTAGCCTCACCAGCAAAGAAAAGACGGCCATCACCAACACTTTCGGCTAATATGTCATAGTCATCTCCAGAGGCTCCCACAGCAACATGAGAGTATGAACCTAGACTGAACGAGTCAGTGCCCCATCTAGTGCAAACACTCTGTAGAGGGTCCGGCACCTCAATCCCTTGTGGTTCATAGATACCTGTGGACACAACAAAACCCTAAATGTTTAATCAGGCAGGTCCCTTATATGACATCAATGTCACTGTATATGCTTCAGAATTTATATGGAAGCGAATAGAATAAAAAATGTCTTAAAAGTAACTTGTGACTTCATCAGAGGTTGAAATACTACCTTATGCAGAGTGTTACTCATAGACCAATGCAAACTTTGTTTTTTTTTTTGTTGAAGGAGCACAATTTTGATTATAGAAATTACGCTCTCACCTCTTAGTATCTGGAGAACTGAGCTGACAGCATCAGTTGGTGGCGTGGTTTCAAAATTGTGGGCAGCTTCACCAGCAACCAAGGCCATCAACAATGGACCACCAGCCACTGTTGCATAGCTATAGAACAGAAAGAACTCCCCACGTCGCCTTGGATCTTCAACCAGATGCCCGAAGGTATCAAGGTCAGTACTCCAGAAAACATGTGGAAACAGCATCGATACCTTGTTCAACAATCCGAAGCCAAGCCTCTTGATACTATCAAGCTTCCTCTGTGGTAACTCAGGTAAAAACTTGATGCCTCCATTTTTCAGAACCCCAAGTGGAACTGTGCACAATGCCATGTCCCCTTCATACACCTGCCCTCCATTGACAACCACCTGCACCCCATCCCCTCCATACCTTATAGTGTGCACCGTCCTCTCATAAACAATTGGTACATTCTCTGCCAGGGCCTGCACAAGTTTGCCATTGCCACCAGGCAAGAAGCAGTGATCCCCACCCATGTCATATGGATCATCCTGGTCCCAGAACGCAAGGCTTAGTCTAGACAGCAATCCTGCATTGGCATACTCAAGATTTGCCAGATGCCAATTGAACAAGTTCATCTCCTCCTGTGTAGCGACGCCCCCATCAGCCTGGCGCAATGTCTCTAGAGCTGCCCCAAGTGAAACATCCACTGTCACCTCCCCCATGGTTGCCCGCAGGTTGCTTGACTTGTCAAGAAGCTTGTTAAATGTAATCTCCACTTTCTTATCCACTTCTGGATCAACAGGTGATCCATCCGGTCGGTAGAGTGGACACTTGTCTCTAATTTTGTGCATTGGCAAGCCGAGTTGCTTCGCCACAATTCCTAGCGGGTTCCCAAATGTCCCGGTAAGCACGCTGCCGCCAAGGTCAGCAGCAGCCGAGCGCCCACCGCCTTCCATCTTCTTCGTGTACACACGGCCACCGCACCTTTTGCGACCTTCCAGGACGATCACTTTGAACCCGAACGCCACCAGCTGCCGTGCAGCAGCTAGCCCAGCAAGGCCAGCGCCTACCACGATGACGGTGGTGGGTCTCGTGGGCTCCTTGGGTATTCGCTCCTTGATGGCTGGGGCGACGCCGAAATTGACGTAGCTATTTGAGACGAGGAAGGAGTAGGCGGCGGTGAGGAGGTGCTCGCAGTGGGGAGGGATGAGCGTCGCGAAGGGCTCCTTGGCAAGCCAGGAATTGTAGGTCTCGCGCCACCGGCAGAGGAGGTGGTTGCGGATGAGGATGTAATTGACCTGCTCGATGCCGCCCACGTCGGAGACAACGCCCGCCTCGATCTCCTCGTCAGTGAGCGAGTCCGCTGGGAAGCCAGCGGTGAGAGCGGTGACGGCCTCCGCGGTCGGCTCCCGGTTGATCACTATGATATCGTCGGCGGCGGAGGCGGGGGGAGGTGGCTGGGAGGGAGCCACGGGAGAGGGGGCGGGGGCGGCGGGGGACCCGGAGGGTACTTTGCGGCGGAATCCGGTGCGCTTGCGCTTGTTGGGGAAGGCGGGATTGGGGAGGACAAGGGTGGGGTTCGGTGATGGGGTGGAGCTAGGATCTGGGGCAAGGGCGAGGGGGAGGGGAGCGTAAGGTGGCGCCTGCTCGGACATGTTCGCCGGCAGCGAGGGGCTGGGGCGGCGGCGGCAGTGGCACCTGCTCGATGGGGCCGCCGTGTAGGTGCAGGCGAAGAGCATGGGGCATGGGGGTAAAACGTAAAAAGAGTCCTTTTCCGCCTTCAGTCTAAGGATACGGAAATTGTCAGTTACGCCTTCTAATGGAGTCTACAGAAATCACAAGTCACAAACATCCAAGGAGGTTCAAAAGAGATAAGAGTGTACATTCACTTCATTCAAGCCCCAACTTCCTGCAAGCACATAATTCAACAGAAACTAGTACAGACTACAGACGAGTTCAAGGAAGTTTCAGCGCGTGTTTAGTTGCTACCCTAAAATCCAAAAAAGTGCTACAGTACCCATCACATCGAATCTTGCGATATGTGCAAGGAGCATTAAATGTAGATAAAAAAAAAACTAATTGCACAATTTGGTTGGAAATTACGAGACGAACGTTTTGAGCCTAATTAGTCCATGATTGAACACTATTTGCCAAATAAAAACGAACGTGCTACAGTAGCCTAAATTCCTAAATTCAGCTACCTAAACACGCGCTCAACAACTGATCTAGCGAACAACATATCCATGCATGATTGCAGAAAGAGTAGTTCTTGTATCAATTGCTTTGGCAAGCAAATCTGAAGAAAGAGTAGTTCTTGTATCAATTGCTTTGACAACATATCCATACACATTGCTCACCATCGAATGGCCCTTCTCCAGTCCAAAGAACAAATCAACGTGCAAGTGACTCTGGCATGTTGAATTGGCCAGGGCAGACTACAAGTCTACAAGTAATACTGACAGCAGTACGCTCAACGACTACATTGCGGCAATACTCTTGTTGACAGAAGCATGGGCCATCCTCAACATTGTAACTTCGCTACTGTTTGTGCGGGGTGGTTTGACATGATTCTGTAAACTATGTCTGGACAAGAAGGGATCCATGAAGACACCAAAGAACGAGATAAGTGGATCTGCGCGTGCACTGTCAATGGAAAGCTTCAGGTACTGAGATTCAATGACTGGAAACAGTAGGAGCCTCTTGTACCCGATTGTTGTGCCTTCAACAATTGTTTGCCACAGTTCATCTATGAGGATAGCCACATGAAACTCAATAACACGCTGCCCCAGTTGTATAGGCTCCTGGAGCTGGAGCATGTTGAAGGAAGTAGATTGCCCAAGGTCGAAGAGCATTTCCCAGCAGGTTTGCCCTTCCTGCGGAGCCCAGTAGGAGTATATGCCATCTTCAAGCACTTTGGATGGTGCAAACTGCAGATTATCTTGCCCACCACGCACACTATTTGCTGTGACAGTGGCATTAGCAGCAAAGTTTTGAGAGAAAATTGCACGCCGAATCTCAGTGAATTCCTGAAGGACTTGTATGTCTTCATTGGCAATGAGGCCAGATGAATTGGGAGGGACATTCAAAATGAGGAGACAGTTTCGACCAACTGATTTGTAGTATATGTCAAGCAGAGTTGTCGCATTTTTTGGTTTCTCTGAGGCATGCCAGAACCAACCTGGTCTGATAGAAACATCACATTCTGCAGGAACCCAGTCTTGCCCAAAAGGATCCCCACTGCGTGAGTATCTGGCAATAACGTTAGTATTTTTTAGTCAGTTTTTTTTTTGAAAAGAAGCCGGTAGGTAAATTACCGGCTATGTATTAATAAAGGAGTAAACACATAAATACAAAACCAACAAGCACACATACACCACCACCACCCACCCGCAAGACGAAAGCAACAAACGAAAAAACAACTACAACGAAAGCCACCAGCGAAACCACAACCGCAACGGCAAACAAGAGCCGCCCTGCCCGCCACAGCAACAACCACCAGGGGGGTTCAACGACGAGACATAAAAGCAGTGTGTTCATCAATAGCAAAAAACCTGTACTGTATCATATAAATTCTATCGAATGTCTCTCAAGAGACAATAACAACCAAACCTTCTCTTTCATCAAACATCACTCAATGCTGAATCTTGAAGTTCATTGAGTTACCATATGAGATGTCACTGACATCGATTCTGGAAATATGCACACTAACTATAGGTTGTCACATGTAAATTTGTCATGGCCAATGTTGTCATACAGAACTATACTAAGTTACTAACAAAGGTTAACTAGAGTTTCAGCGAATTCTAAAATTCTATGACTAAATAAGTCTATACTCCTATAACCCATTAGCCTCTGTTCATTCCCTGATGCAGTGCAACATCCAAACATCAAATCAGCGAGTCTACTTTCGATTTCAGAACTATTTTGTTACAGGACCATACTGGATTTTTAACTTGGTACAGACATTGCATTAGACACTTTCTGACACACAGCCACCTCTAAGTAATGCTGTACACACTAAACAAGTAACAACGGTCCAAATGCATAATGTATCATTCTTATCTTCAAATAGAAGAAAACTACAATGTTTATCTACTCATAATATTGTGGTTATCTAATTTTGCAAGGATATGCTCAGATAAGTCATCATTTACAATCAGAAAAGATAGTACCATGCTTCAAATTTAGTAACTTTGGAGTGGGTTCAAAGCAACAACTGAATAGCTGTCTAACTGTCTTGCTCCAAATAAATATGTACTCATAACTGAAATATTCACTGTGTCGAACTAAAAGGCTATGCCTTTCAAACACATAAATATTGTCACCAGTGGATGAGAACATCATATTTTTAAATAAAAGAATAGCTAGCTAGAGTTCCCATCCATGCTAGAATCTTGATAGAGGTAAATAGTATATCTTGTGTGATACTAAGCAGAGAAACGACAAGACAAAACTAATCGCCATTGCATTACTTACTCAGCAATGGTATGCCCAATTGTCACGGAGCTCTTGTTGAAGGGAGACCAGCAAGTATAGCCTGCGACTCCTGCCTCATCTCCCACCCATCTAGTGTCTGGTCCAGCATCTGAGAAGATAACTACCCTTTGTTGTAGCTGATGTATAAGTGAAAACCAGGCATCAAACATATAATTCATCTTCTTGGCATCGCCCTTTGCACCATCTAGCCAAACTTCCTCTACATCTCCATACCTGCATATTTGAAAGCACAGTCTTTAGATTATCCTAAATACAGAAAATAAATAACTGAGTGTGCACTATGATGAGTCATGAGTATAAAGTATATGAATGAATGCTGCAATGTACTATTTTTTTTCAATATCTCTAAGAATGAAAAGTAATGCATGCAGTAAACCACTAATCAAGATGGATTAGCCACAAGAAAAGACAGTTTTTCTTAGCATCCGGCACCACAGTTAATCACTGATGGCTTCCAAATCGAAGATGACATCAAGGAAGTTCAGCTGTTACTGAAAATTTCCGCAACTGAACAGGTAGAAGGCTGACTTTTTTTAGTTTCCAGTTACATAACCACATCAAGATAAACCTTCACATCATCTGGATCGCAAAATTCAGAACTTCGCCTGCAAAAGCTTCAATGACAATCATAAAAGCAACCATCAGCAAACCTGGTCAGCAGTTCCGTCATCTGTCCCAAGTAATGCTCGTTGTAAGCGATGGTGTCCCCGTACACCGGCTCGTGGCGGTCCCACGGCGAGAGGTAAAGCCCCATCCCGATCCCCTCCGCGCGCGCGGCTGCGGCGAGCTCGGCGACGACGTCCCCAGCCCCGCCCCGCCACGGCGAGGCGGCCACCGAGTAGTTGGTCAGTGCCGACGGCCAGAGGCAGAAACCGTCGTGGTGCTTGGCGGTGAGCACGACGCGGCCGAACCCTCCCTGCGCCGCGACGCGCGCCCACTGGCCCGCGTCGAGTGCCGAGGGAGCGAACACGGAGGGGTTGGCGCGGCCGGTGCCCCACTCGGAGTCCGTGAAGGTATTGGGCCCGAAGTGGAGGAAGAGCGCCATCTCGGAGAGCTGCCACCGGAGCTGCGCGTAGGACGGGACGGGCAGGACCGGGAGAGGCGGCGGCGTCGCGGCCGAGGAGGCGGTGGCGCCATCGGCGCAGAGGAGTAGGTGGGCGAGCAGCAGGGGAAGAAGTGCTGCCATTTTCGTCAGAAAGGGGCGTGCAGTGTGACTTTCAGAGTCAACTGCTTTTTCTGTCACGGGATTGGAAAAGAAGACGGCAACGACGCTTTCTATGGCGTACTATGAATGAATTCATCAAAATGAAACAAGAGATAAACGGGTTTTGAAAGAAAAATTATGAATGAATTTATTAAAATCAAATAAGAGAAAAACGGTTTTGAGAGAGGAATAGGCTAAATAGGCTATCGTTTCCTTTTATTTTTGAAGTGCTTAAAATCTTGGGGGACAAAAGGGAAAACATAAAGGCCTATTTGGTTGGCTAAATATAACCTAGTCTAACTACTGACATACAAGTTCAAGTTGTTTGGTTGCATATATGTATTTTTTCTTAGGTCTGGCCTTGCGTGTATCTCGCGTCCACAGCTTGGCTCGTGGGAAACAGATCGGGGAATTTTTTTTGTGTGCTATTAAAAAAGATCGTAATGTTCTGTGTGTCTTTGAAAAAGTTCAGCGGTCTTCAGCGTCACTGCTCCATTTTTTTTGTGCCCTCCATGCCACTGTCGTCAGTTTGGGCTCTAACGCCGTCAAACTGCAGAGGTAAAAAGTCGAAAATACCCTTAAGTCTAAATATGTCATTAATTTTTTTGAGCATCTTAACGATTTCAAATGAAAAAATTCAAAACTAGAAAGTTGTAGATCTCGTCGAGATCTATAATTTTTATATAAAAATTATCTACATTTAATTCCGCAAAAAAGATATGATTTTTCTAAGATATATTAATCATATCAAATCATTTTTTTACGGAATTAAATGAAGATAATTTTTATTTAAAAAATGTAGATCTCGACGATGGGCCTGTTCGGCAGGACTGAAAATACTATTCTGACTGATTGTTGTGAGAGGAAAATACTGTTCTGGCAGGACATGAATAGTGATTCCGTGAGTTGGCTGGCCAGCCACTCAGCCGGCTTAAAGCTAGCCGAACACGCCCGATATCTACAACTTTCTAGTTTTGAATTTTTTCATTTGAAGTCGTTAAGATGCTAAAAAAACTAATGACATATTTAAACTTAAGGGTATTTTCGACTTTTCACACCTGCAGTTGACGGCGTTAGAGCCCAAACTGACGGCAGTGGCATGGAGGGCACAAAAAAGTTGGAGCAGTGGCGTTGAAAACCGCTGAACTTTTTCAGGGACACACAGAGCATTACGATATTTTTTAATGGCACACAAGAAATTCCCCCTAACAGATTTAGGGTGCCTTGGCTCGCGCAAACAACATGGGCTTACACGAGAGAGAGAGCGGCAACGTGCGCTGCCACAGATTAAGGGTATGTTAGTTCACAGCTAAATTTTAGTTATCTAAACTTTAGGTGTAGACATTCAACACATGTGAACTAAAAAGCATTGTTTAAAACAAGGCGATAGCAAACTATAGAGGGCTAAAAGAGCTAAATTCAACGTGAGTAGAAATAGCGATACACTGTATAAAACAGACATAACGCCGGCTATTTGTTACCTTCTAAAAGTAAACTAATTTTAAGTTTCTAACTCAACTAGCCACTGATCTATTAATGTGAACAAAAGATGACTATAAGTCCATGTACGAAGAATCTTTTTATTTTTAGTTTACTTTTAATTCATATTTCTAAATATACTCTCTCTGTCTCCTAATAAATAGATTCTTAGAGTTGTCTTAAATAAAAAAATTTAAATTTTGACCAGGTTTATAGAAAAATGCCATCAATATTTATGGCATCAAATTAGTATCATTAGATATATCATAGAATATATTTTCATAATATGCATATTTTATGTCATATATGTTGTTACTCTTTACTATAAAGTTAGTCAAAAACTCAGGATAGTTTGACTTATACGGATTCTATAAATTGATTTATTTAGGGACGAAAAAAGTACTAAACTAAAAATGATATACCTAAATTTTAGTATAACTAAATTATAAGTTTTATTAGGTGATCCGTAAAGAGCTAAGACAATAAAAAAAAACCGAGATCATGCCAACCAACCAATGTCTTGCAAGCAGCATGGGACTCGCCACGCCCAAAGCTGTGGTGACTGGTGAGTGGTGGCAATCGGTTTAAACCGAAACTTCGGTGTGGTTTATTCGGTTTTTCAAAATTTCGGTTTTCAAGAAACAAGAACCGTTCGGTTTATCAAATAGTCCAAAACCGACGATTTCGGTCTCGGTTCTTTACTTCGGTTTTCGGTTTAAAACCGATAGAACCGAGGTCTCCCTCGACTCCGGCTTCGTCGAGCCTAGCAGATACGCGCGATGCGCCGCGCCGCGCCGTCTCCACACAGATGCGTCGCGCGCCACCTCCCAGTCGCACTGCTGAGCGTCGCGCTGCCGGCTGCGCTCGCTCCCTGCTCGGCGGCGGCGAAGGTCGCACGCGCCTGCTCCTTCGCAGCTCGGCCGACGCACCGTCCTCCGCAGCCTCGCTCGCAGCTCGCCTACCTCGCTGTCCCCCGCTCCGGTGCGACGACGCTCCCTGCTCCATGCTCGGGTGCTCGCGCCGGTGCCGCCCCCGCGCGCGCTCCTACCACGCGCCGCTCCTAGTCCTAGATAGGGTTTGGCGTGGGTGTGCCGTGTGCGGCTGGGGCTGGCTGTCTGATTGAGTGGGGGTGAGTGGTGGGCTGGTGGGGGTGGCCGTTTAGGTGGGCCGACGCGGTTGTGGGTGAGCTTTGAGCCTGTGAGGGGAAAGTTCGCATGTCTGCGTACTGCGAGTAGCTTCGACGCTTCGCGGTTTGAGGCAGAAACCGAACACCGAGCCGATAACCGAAGTCAGCAGATACGGAAACCGAAGCCGAACAAAAAAAAACCGATATTTCTGTTCGGTTTCGTTTCGGTTCGGTTCGGTGATCGGTTCTCGGTTTAATGGTGACCTGAAGGCGTGAAGTGCAGTACTGGCGTTCGAGTTCGACTTGGACACTCCGCTCGTGCGTGGGGCATACAGACGAACACGGAACACCTCACGAGGGAAACCAGGCGTCCAGGCCACTCGTCGCTCCCCTCCGCTCTACTCCGAAAGCTTCCCGCGGAAAGAATGTGCGGCTGCGCGGCCCTCGTCGCCGGAGGCCGGCTGCCACCGCCCGCCCTCCCCCGCCGGCTCCGCCGCCGCCGAGGGAGCTCCGTCCGGGCAGAGGTCTCGCCAGGTGGCGAGTCCCAGAAGAAGAAGGTCGCCGTCGCGGGCGCCGGCTGGGCCGGCCTTGCCGCCGCGCACCACCTCGTCAAACAGGTTGGCCTCGCGTGAATTGTAGCTCGTGCATTCGTGTACTTGTAAGCGTGGCGACTATGTGCAACTTTACGAATTACAACTTGTTCTGATGATCAGGGGTATGATGTCACGCTTCTCGCCGCGGAGAGCGGCCCAACCGAGGAGGTTGGCCTCAGAGGTATTGTCAACCTTCAGTATACGATATCCGTTTATATGTTTCGATTCGGTGCCAGTTTTGTTCCAGTAATTCGCTCATCGTGGCGCTGCACATAGGATTCTGGCATCCGTACCGCAACATCTTCGCTTTAGTCGATGAGCTGGGGATTTCGCCTTTCACAGGCTGGAATAAAGCAGCCTACTATTCTGCCGAGGGCCTTGCTGTAATTTCTCTGCTTTTATTTTTGTGCGCTCACATGCATTTGTGCATTGATGCAATGAGTTATCGAATGAATGGTTTTTTCTATATTTTTTCGATTTCTTTTTTGGTGGATTTATTACTTAAAATGGGTTTAGCTGGAAGTTTCTCAGTCTGTAGCATGTGTCATATTGTTTTGCACGGGTCTATTGTGTCTGGATTTAATTGTTGCCCCAGTGGTGACAAGCATCTGAGAAGAGCTTTTAACTGCTCTGATGAAATCAATATTCTGCTGGTGTGATGATCGACAAGGCTTCGGTCTTTTGTTTCTGTTTCTATCTTTTGATCTTGTTTTGTAATCGTGCTCTTTGGGGTGTGGGGTGTTTCTAGCTGAGTAGGGTGAGCGGTTGTGGAGAGGTATGGATGCTGGTTTAAGGTTGACTGTAAGCTGGTGTCCCCAGGCTTGGTCTAAAAAAAATCCTGATTAACTTAAATTGTTATCATCACCTTGTAGGTCGAATTTCCCATATTTCATAACCAGCCCCGATTACCAGCTCCCTTTGGAGTCTTTGCATATCCAGAAGTAAGTTGTCCTTAGATCTTATATTGGTTATCAGTTTATCCGATTCTAAATTAGTAATAATAGCCTGAATTATCTTTGCAGTTCCCTAATCTTCCTTTGATTGATAGGCTGACATCAATTCCAGTCATAGCTGCAGGTACGGGTGTTCAACTGTTAACCTTCTGTTAAAAATCAGCTCACTTGCTAACCACTTCTGTGTTGCTTTGGTCCAGTCATTGACTTTGACAACACTGACACTGCTTGGAGGAAATATGATGCAAGTAAGGAAGTTCCATTGTCTATCTGTTAGTTCAGAGTTCAGACTAGTGTACGTGTCACTTGTACTACATGTCTTCATAATGAGTTATCTTTCTCAAATTATTGTTGGTATCTTCCTCTGTAGTGACTGCAAAAGAGCTTTTTAAGATGTATGGTTGCTCTCAAAGGCTCTACAAGGAAGTCTTTGAGCCAGCTATTCAGGCTGCCCTGTTTGCTCCTGGTGAGCAATGTAGTGCAGCTGCAACACTGGGGATGCTGTACTATTATATGCTGTCTCATCAGGTTCTATGCTCTTGTACATTATAAATGATCATTTTTCTCCAGATACTTTCTTAAATGAACATTTATCATCTTATTGTCTCTTTGTAGGTTTAATTTTTATAAATGCATGCCCTATCTTGCAGGAAAGTTCTGACTTCTTGTTGTGCCATGGTGAAGTAGAAGAAAAAATTCTCTCTCCTTGGCTGCAATCGTTGGAGCTTAAAGGCTTAAAATTTGTAGAAAACAAAGTTCCAACAAGTTTGACTACAGATGCGGATACTGGATGCATCTCTGCTATTGTCTGTGGTGACGATGTATATGAGGCAGATGCATTTGTTTCAGCCATGGGACTCTCTTCTCTACAATCCATCGTCAAAAACAGGTAACACTGTATATGGTCACGCATGAGTCCTGGGTCAGTTTTGCCTTACCTTACCTTACTACATTCAAGTAACGTTGGAAGTCAAGATGGTAAGAAAATATAATCTTGTAGCAGTAGCACTTAAAGGAGCCATAAGTTTCACAGCCTGAATTCTGCAATTAATATATGTGCTTTTCTGACATGTATAGTCCATTCCTACGGTCTGATCGGGAATTCAGGAATCTTCTTCACTTATCTACAGTCGACATGATCTCTATAAAATTATGGTTTGATAAAAAGGTAAGCCAGTATGCACTCCGTCTGATTATTGTTCACGCATTGTTCCCCCCAATATAATTTTATGAAATCCATTTACAGATCACAATTCCAAAGGTTGCCAATGTATGTTCTGGTTTTGATGATTCGTCTGGCTGGGCATTCTTTGACCTTACCTCAATACATGATGATTATTATGAAGAATCAACAACAATTGTGGAGGCTGAATTTGTATGTTCAGACCACCTTTATCAATTTGAAAATATACAACATTTTCAGCCAGGATGTACTTACTCTTGTAACTTATTTTCCCAGTATAATGCTAGCCATTTGGTACTTGTAAATGATGATGATATTGTCTCTGAAGCTTCATCACATCTTATCAAATGCATACAAGATTTTGAGGGTGCTACTGTGATAAGATATTCAATCAGAAGATCTCCTAATTCTGTAATCAACTTTCTTCCAGGTGAATGCTTAAAGGACGACTATTCTTGATAGCTTCCTGTCTATAGTAATAATCGAGTTATTGTTAACCGTTATGGATGATTGATAATGCTATACTCTAGATCATTTCAGTGCATATTGTCCTATTGAAAGGTAGTTGTAAATCAATGCTGTGAATCTGTGATAAGGATCAAGAATCATAAAAAAGGGGCAGACCCAGTGCCGGAGGCTCCCACATGAGTGGGGTCTGGGGAAGGGAAAAACCGAGGCAAGCCTCCCCCCCGCAAAATCTGCGGAGATGCTGCTTCGAACCCGCGACCTGGTGACTCAGTGAGACAGTTCTCACCACTGCACCAGGCCTGCCCTTCGTGATAAGGATCAAGAATCATAACAATAAAATTATACTTTTTTTAGCATATGTACATATCAGTGCTAGTTTAGAAATATGTTGTTTCAGAGCAATATTTAAGTTGATACATGGGAAAATGCATTACTTGCAGGCTCCTACAAGTACACACTGAGAGGATCAACTTCCTTTCCAAATTTGTTTATTGCTGGTGATTGGATTGTCAACCGACATGGGTCCTTTTCTAAAGTGAGACATAACATTTCAAAAAACGATTCAGAGTGATGATAAAAAGTTGTATTTATGGGTTCATATTTTCCTATGCTAGGAAAAAGCATATGTGACTGGACTTGAAGCTGCTAATAGGGTGGTAGACTATTTTGACACTGGGGACTTTGCCAAAATAATTGCAGTTGAAGGAGATGAGCCCCATATAGAGACATTGCGTAGTCTCAACAGAAGAGTCAATGAACTGAAGTCACAAATTCCATTCTCAGAATTCTTTCTCCAGTAATTTGGTTGGGCCAATAATTTGGCTGGGATTTTCCTATATCTGTTGACCAATGCCCATTGTTGTAGGGCCCATATGTAAAAAGGTCAGCCAGTTCTCATTTTATTTGCTTTATATATTTAAAACAAAATACTCTCTTCAATCGAAATGTATGTCATTTAGCCTTTTCCACTTTCCTCTAAATCTAAGTTACCCTAGAACTTCTATGCATCTTTTACCCTTTTCCTCCCTCTTTGCTCTGAAATAAATTAGTCATCTTTTACAATGCAGTATAAATGAAGGGCACTGCGGTCATTTAATCTACTTTCTTAATCCTTGTGCACAAATCTAAAACGATCTACATTTGGAATTTGAGGGAGTATTTCTTCTGCTGTGTGCATTGGCCAGCCAGTGGCCAACCTTTGGCCTGAGATCATGTGTTCCTGGTTACTTTTGTGAAAGACTGAATGAATAGTCTAAAAAAGGCTATATAACATTCTATTAAAAAAAGAAGAAAATGTGGGTTGAGGGCACCAATAACTTTTGGGTCATAACTTTTTTATATGCAGCAGCAAAGGTTAGTTTGCAATTTACATGGGAAAAATGATACAGTATCTCCCCAGCAGTGCAACTTATATGGATTCAATGGAAATATGGATGGATATGTAAACTTATGTGATGTTACTGGTGTTAGCTACTTTTCCAATGGCTTTCAACTGCTTCAGGTGAACAATACCTAACAGAAATTATGTCGTCATATTGCTGTATTTGTTATTATCTGCTGACCCTGCAATAGCATTTCTGAGCTCATATGCTGCACCCATTATGGTTTATCATGAACTTTGTAATTTTGTTCAAGCATGAGTTTTCCTTTCCTCATCCTAATTTTGAACATACTTATTTTAAATAAAGATTCACAAAATGTACCATTAGTGAAATTTACTTTCAGCAGGATTAGTGCCAGTTTTCTGGTAGGCTATATGTCTTTTGCATATGTATGATTCCATGAAGTCTGAACATTATTTTTTGAAGTAAACTGAACATTTTCTCTCGTTGCATATTCGGTTAATAATAGCTGTACATACTTGTCTTGGACCGTAGCTGCAGAAGCAACTTGTTCTAAGTTAAACTTGCATTGTTGCTTGTACTTGCCATATTTCCTGAAACATATATATACAACCTCTTCCATCATGAGAACAGAGTTTTCTCAGGTATAACTTCCCTTCCTCATCATTTCTACAAACTCTTCATAGTCGATTCTCCCATCCTGTGAATTCAGAGGGGGGCGATTGTTAAATCTATGCAAATGGATTGGTTAGCAGCAAGAATGTGCTCACCTTGTCTTTATCAACTTCATCCAGTACTTCTTTAATGCTTGCTTCATCACTCACTCCATACTCCGCCATGGCTTGTTGCAGTTCATCTCTTGTTATGTACCTGTGGTTGTTATGTATGTTATCTCGGTTTAATTATATTAAACCTTTTTGTTTTTCGTAATTGAGTTTAACCAAGCAAAACGATGTAATGTGGCAGTATCATGTATTGAGCATTGTTAGTTTGTTATATTATGAACAATTTGAGCAGCATGTAATTTTATTTTACAAGTTCTGGCATTGTTCAACTGTGTAGGTCTTTGTTTTGATGATGCATGGAGAGTATACTGCTTTCTTGGTTAGGCAGAATTAATTTTACCCGCTGTCATCTTTGTCAAAGTGTTGAAATGCACGGATCAAATCCTCCTCCTTTTCCAGTTTATGTTTATTCATCATGGCAGTAAGGAACTCCGCGTAATCAATGCTGCCACTCTTGTCCACGTCAACCTGCATCGAAGCATGATTAGTGAAGTATTTCATACACTGAACTTAGTGTGAAAGTGAAATGGAATAAGCAATCTTACTGCTTCCATAAGCTTCTGAACCTCTGCTTCACTAATCTTTGACCCTAGTTTTGTCAGTCCTTCCTTCAGTTCTTCGACCGTGATCGTGCCACTCTTGTCTGTATCCATGTTGTTGAACATCTGCTTCAGTCCCTTGATCTCGTCTTCTGTTAGGTTCTCTGCGATTACCTTACAATGACAGGAGACAATTTGTCAACTTAAACTGACATAGGCGAACATGGAGACAATCATCCTGATGTGTTGGACCATATGGACAGCCAGGAATGAGTTAATCTTCAAATCAAATCAAATCAGTTTGCATGATTGCAGGCACATTTTCTTCAGAGAAGGGAAACTCGTGGGGCTACTCTAGTCTCTCTTTACAGTTTGATCAAATCTTTAGAAATGATCGAAGTCCTCGCTTTTGTTTTATTTTCTTTCTCTCTTTTTTTGTCTCCTAGTTGCTCCCTGTGTGGTGCTGTTCTGTCTTGCTTGTAAAGACCTGTGTTTTTTTACTATTCAATAAATCTCCTGTAGGGGCTGCGGCACCTCCAGTTTCGTCAAAAAAAAAAAGTGGCAGTTATTCTTGTTAAGGAGGTTCACCTTGAGTGCAAGTTGCTTTAGCTTGTTCATTGCCTTGAATTGCTTCATTCTTGACAGGACTGCGCTATCAATAGGTCTGTCAGGTGCACCACCTTTGAGCCATGGATGTTCTGCACATGGAGTCATCCATTTATTTGGGATGAAGTATAAAACGTGGAAATGCAGATGAACTTTACATTCATAATAACTCAAGTGATGTATGAAAAGTCAGTTAAGAGTGCTACCTAGGGCCTGTACTGCAGTAATGCGCCTCTGAGCATCCCTGTTCAACAATCTTCTAATGAGATCCTTTGCACTTTCAGATATGGAGGGCCACGGGGAGGAGATTAAATCAAGTTCGCCGGCCAATATTGCATCAAATATGCCTTTCTCCGTTTCTGCTCATCAGATACGCAAATTCTGTCATCAGCCAATCATACTGGAGGCGATGTAGTCTGTCAGGATGAAGATGATTGGATCTTCACCTGCCCAGAAAGGCGGTGACCCGCATAGAAGAATGTATAGGATCACGCCAGCACTCCAGACATCGATTTCTTTGCCGTAATTCCGGTGCAACACCTCTGGCGCCACATAGTATGCACTTCCCACGATTTCCTTGTAGACTTTACCTGCATTCGTTGGGGAAAATTGTCTAGTATTACCATTTTCCATGTAACAGTTGCATTTTACTTGAATGAATATAATGATGAGCAAAGGCCTATGGCGTTTGAATACTATTCCCTGATATCTTGCAACATAGCAGTAGTATTTACTTGACTTTCAGCTGCAACTTTTTTGTTGTTGTTGTTGTTGATGAGGTTCAGCTGCAACTTTTGAGCCCAGCTTACTAAAGCCTTTGTTTTGTACCATGCGGTGGATATCATCAATATCATGGAGAGAAAATCATCGTGCCTTGACCACGCACGCGTCACCATTCACCAAGCTAACCTTCTTCGATGAAGACGGAGAGGCCGAAGTCGATGGCCTTGAGCGGCGCGTCGGCGGCGGGGCTGGCGAGGAGGAAGTTCTCGGGCTTGAGGTCCCGGTGCATGACCCCCATGAAGTGGCAGACGTGCACGACGGTGAGGACGTCGCGGCACACGGCGGCGGCCTGGCGCTCGGAGTAGCTCCCCTTGGCCGTGATGCGGTCGAAGAGCTCCCCGCCGGAGCAGAACTCCATGACGACGTGCACGTCGTCGGCGTCCTCGAAGGCGCCCTTGAACTCCGCCACGTTGGGCTGGCCGCTGAGGTGCTGCAGGATGGTGATCTCCCGGCGCATGTCGTCGATGTCGGCGCGGCGCACCAGCTTGCGCTTGGACACGGACTTGCACGCGTACTTCCTCCCCGTCGCGCGCTCCGTGCACAGGTACGTGGTCCCGAACTGCCCGCTCCCCAGCTTCCGCTCCAGGTGGAACAGCGTGCGCACGTCCACCATGGGCCGCTGCAGGATCGGGCCGATCTGGCCGGTGGGCGCCCGCCGGCCGCCCATCGACCCCGTGCCCAACGACGGGAAGGCCGGAAGCCGCGGCGGCGGCGGCGCCCGGAAGGACGGCGGCCGGCGCGAGCCCGAGCCCGACGACAGCGGCACCTCCCGCGCCGTGTGATCGTGGGGCGGCCGGTACGTCGGCGGGTCCGTGGTGATTGGTATCTCCTGCTCGTACGTCTTGGTGAAGCAGTTGCCCATTATTTCCTCGCTGCTTCTTTCGTTTCTCTGTGTTCCTGCGGACGACGGCGTCGAGCCGCCGTCGAGGTGGTGGGAGATCGACGACGACGAGCGAGGCAGTTTGAGGGGGAGTTTCCTTGTAGTGCTCCTTTTGCGAGCAAGGACGGAGGACGAGGATATGAAGGCAGCCGGCAAAGCTTGACGTGATGCTCAGCTGCTTTTGAATCCTTTTGCTAGCTGTTTGCTTTTGGTCCACGGTTTTGAGCGGCTTTATGCCTTGTTTGGCTGCCTCCAGATGGTAAAGAAGATTCAATGAACGCCTGAGAATCACGCTATCTTATACGCTGACACTGCGGCTCAGGTGATTTTTATTCGGTGCCGGTGATGGAGAAATAGCTGGTGTGCACAGCAAGTCCTCCCCCCCGCCGTTTTTTTTTTAACTTAGCGCCCACGTCTGATCCGGCGCTACAGTCCGGACGGTGTTGGAGGGAGCAAGTGGCTAGCGTGTCGGACTCATGAGCGAGTGCACCAGCGGTGGGTCCGCACCGTCCTGGACGTCTCCTGCGCTGCCTCGAACGTCACCCGCGTCGTCGGCCACTTCCCGCACGCATTTCATGTGCAACACATGATATACTTTTGAAACATCCAGATGCAACTATTGCAACATAAAAAAAGACATGAAACACTTGAAATAAGCGTTTGAAACACTTGAAAAAAAACGTCTGAAAAACATTTGAAAACCATTGTAAACATATGTAATATCTAGCTAAAACACTTGCAAACATACGTATGAAACATCTGAAAACACTTGAAAACGTATGCTTGCAACATGCATGTATATGCAACATCCAGATAAAACACTTGCAACATACGTCTGGAACTGATGAAACATTTGAAACATACACTTAAAACATAGTGTATAGCCATTACAACATATGGAACATCTCGATCTAGTTTTGCAACATCGATATACAACACCGCAACATACCTCTGAAACACTTGAAACATACTCTTGCAGCATGTGTTAGTGAGGGGGGACGTCAACGGCCCAGCGTACACCCAAGCGCAGGCCTCCCCTTCCTGCTGATGTGCGAGGTTGATGGGGGCGCAGGCGCATGCCTCCCTTTCCACGATGGGTGAGGTGGATGGAGGCGCAACACGGGATGGTGGCACAGTAGCCAGCGATGGGGCGCGTGAGCAGACAGGGATGGGCACGGGTGCAGCTAGAGAAGGCCACGACGGACGGGTGCGGTCCTTGCAGCGAGCGGCCCTGCACAGCTACGCTAGAGAAGACGAGCAACGCTGTCTTTATTTTTTAAGATACGGAGGTGAAGTGCGAGCGCGCTCTGAAGTAGCGAGCATAGTGCGAGGCGTCCGGAGGGACGTATGTCCACGTCGTATAATTACCGTTTTTTTAAATAATCCAACGAGTTCAGAGTTCAGGGTATCAGACCTTAGCGTGAGCGTGACCTTGAAAAAGAAGGGGCAAGGGAGTAAAAGGGAAACTGGGCTTGCAAGTTCAATCTGGGCTTGTAGTACCTCGTTGCACACTGGGCCTAACGATTCGGCGCAGGACCTCATGTCTCAGCCTAGTCCGTGAGCCCAATGCATGCTTAGGCCCCGTCGACACGCCCCTGGCTCGGGGCGTCATAGGGTCCGCCCGTTCGGACGGTGAGCTCTGTCCGGCAGCAGCTTTCCCGCCAATTAAATTACACGCTACTCCCTCCGTCGAGTAAATTTTGCAATCTAAGAGTTCAAATTTGTCCAACAAATTTTGCAATCGTAGAATTTATAGGGTCTATCATGCTAGGCTATCACATCAAGGGGACCCACATTAGACCCTGTGCTGTTGGTGATCTGCTCTTCCTCACGGTCCACGGATGTCTCTAGAACGCTAAAGAAAATAAAAAACTAAACTTTGGGTCAGTACGTCAGAGCAAATATAAGGGTATTTTGGTCATTTGTCATGTGCATTGCTACCTCCCTCCAGTCGTACGATTGCAAAATTTACTAGACAGAGGGAGTAATTAATTTCCACGCTCGGACGGACGGCCGAACGCGCCGGATTCTGCTGAAGCAAATTGCCAGCGAGGCAAATTTTTTCCTTCCGCTTGATTTGCCCTCCACTTTTTTGCATGCAGTGATGTCATATTTTTTACAAACTAAAAAAATTGTAACTACTAAATCGGGTATCAAATTAAATTTCAATTACACCACTGTGTTTCTTACAATAAATCCTTCAAAACAAGACCCCACATAAATATATTTAGATAAAATTTTATTAATGAATATTTATTCTATAACGATAGAATATTTTCTTTTATTATTGAACAAAGGCGATGTTCTAGGTTCAAATAACAATGTTCCGCCTTCACAATAAAAATGTTCAATATTCTAGTTTTCGGTTCATGGAATTGGTATTATAATATACATAAAAATAAATGCATAACATAAATAAAAACAATAATACAATCTAGAGCAAAGCATGAGGAAAAAAATAAAAACGTGTAATAGAAAAAATTTAAAAGAACATCAAATAGATACTTTTCAAACATCCTAAAATATACTATAGAACATCACATGTGTACTAAGTAAACATCACTAAATACACCATAGAGCATCACTGAATACATTATAAAACATCACATATATATTACGTGAACATCACTAAATGCATCATAGAACACCACATGTGTACTGAAGTGAACATCACTAAATAAACCATAGAACATCACTAAATACATTATAGAACATCGCATATATATTACGTAAACATCACTAAATACATCATATATAGAATATCACATGTATACTAAGTGAGCATCACTAAATACACCATAGAACATCATCAAATAAGAACATCGCATATATATTATAGGAACATCACTAAATGCATCGTAGAACATCACATGTATATTGTGCGAACATCACAGAAAACATCATAGAACATCACATTTATAATACAAGAACATCACATATATACTACATAAACATCGTAAAATACATTATAAAATATTACATGTACACCACGTGAACATAAAAAAACATCACATATAACACATGAATACTACGTAAACATAAAAAAACAACATAGAACATCATAAAAAATAATAAGAAAAAAAGAAAAAGTGAAAAAAAAATAATAAACACATAAAACAGAAAAAGGAAATAAAAAATGAATGATGCACGAAAAGAAAAAAAAAAAAAAAAAAAAAAAGAACGATAAAAAATATAAAACATGAATCAAAGAAAAACATAATTACAAAAAGAAAAATAGAAAATAGAAACAAATGATAAAAACATGATTAACAAATGATAAATATATAGTACAAATAAAATAAATGAATAACTTAAATAAGGATGAAAAAAAGAAAATTAAAAAGAAGGAAAAAATAAAATAAGAATGAAAACATAGAAAACTTAAAAAAAGGAAAATAAATAGAAGCAAGGAAAAACAATAAAAGAAAATCAAATGAAAAAAAGAAAATAAAAGGTAAAAATAAATAAGAAAAGAATTAGAAAAGAAAAGGAAATAATATAAGAATGAAAACATAGAAAACTAAAAAGAAAAGAAAAAGGAAGACTAAATAGAAGCAAGGAAATAAAACAAATAAAAAGAAGACAAAAGAAAAAAGAAGGAAAGAAAAAATAAATAAGAAAAGAATAAGAAAAGGAAACATAATCATTAGGTACCTGTTCCCGCGTTCCCGCGCGATGGCCTTCTGCGCATCGCCTCCCGCGCTTCGCCCGCGCGCACTGTTCGGCTCGTGTCTCCGGTCCGGCCGTTCAGACCGGATGATTTCCGCCCCGACTCTAGCTTCTTTTTTTCTCTCCTTGTAAGGAGCTCTACGTATCAAAATATAAGAAACGATTTCACTGAGTACAGTTTTAATAACATATTTTAAACTATAATTTATCTAGCAGCATATAATTTATAAGAACAAAAACTTGATCATTGGAAAGTATTTCTAAATAAAAATATAATATAACTACTTTTGTAGTATAAATTTTTTATATAATTAGGCTAGTTGTTAGTCAAAGATAACAAAGTTTAAATTTTGAAATACGTGTATGCCTTTTATTTTAAAACGGAGGGAGTAAAAAACAGCTCTTTGCAAGGAGTCTGTACTCCTAGGCCTAGTATTCCATCCGTTTAATGTACTCTCTTTGATAAAAAAAATACCTAAAATATTTGATTTTGTATTTTACCACTATTTTTTAAAAATATATTTGAAACCCAAAAAAGCTAAGAAATTTTGCAAATTTTTTGAATACAAATGTACACATATAACTTACATGTTCTATTGAGGTTTATAGTTTTTTAAGGTTTAATTAACTAAATCTTGTCTTAAAAGACAAGTTTTTGTGACCGCGCATGGAGTATGACACGTAGGACACGGCTAATTAGTTGTATTTAAGAATGGAGGTGGAAGTATTTTTGTGATATAGACCTTAGCTTCATTCTTTTCTGACTTTTGACATTAACAGCTGGTGATCGGGACTATACACACTGATATGCAAAACGCTAAAGTGGTGTGAAGGGGTTCATCTTGATTCTTGAAGCATACTCACCTTCACTAATGTTTCTTTTGACGAAAGTGATGACCTGTCGAAGTCAAGGATAGAATCACATGTATTTCCTATGACCTGCTTTAGTTTGGTCCTGCGAAGCCTCAACTACTAAAACTTGTGGGGAACCAATTGAAAACATAGTGATGAGAAGTGATGTGAGGGGTGCACACACTCTAGCCTTTATCTAGTCGTTTTTATTAAATACCCCAACAACCTTTCTCTTCATTTGTTCCTTCACCTTCATTTTTAAGTCACTTGCTCTACCAAGGACAAGTGATGAAGAAACAAAAGTTGCACAACTGATGGTTGAGAAGAGTAGACGGAACGGGACCCAACCCAACCTATCATTCTCCACTAGAAAGCACGGGTTACGGCAGCCATGACCTGTAGGTGGTGATGCAAGATACTGCAGATAAAGATGCAGTACTATATATATATGAGGTGACCCGGCTACGCCTCAATCTAGCCGGGAAGAACAGCTACAAGGAAGAAAGCAGGCGGTAGAGTGCTAGACCGGCCGTCCAGTCCGTGCCCTCTGCAGCCACCGAATCCTGCTTCCCAGAGGCTACATCTCCAACGAACATGGCAGCAGTCCCGGTGTACAGCGTCACAAGAGCGGAGATCGACGAGTTCTGGAGGAGGAAGGAGGTGGAAGCAGAGGAGCGGCGACTCGCTGCCGAGAAGGAGGCTGCAAGAATCAAGGCCAAGACACTCAAGGTCAGTCCATGCAGTTGATCAACTGTATATCTTTGCGTTATCTATCAGTACAGCCAAAGGCAACTGATGTTTTCGCATGATGCCTAACATATCAGAAAAATCATCAGATGAACAGAACAGAAAATAATGGTATACCATATCATGATCATGTTTTTCAAGTCATATTACGGTCATGTGACTTGGTGAATCGAGTTTTTTGGAAGCAGATGGAAGATTACGTGCTCTTCGAGCAAATGATCAGTGAGATTCTCAAGGAGGGGAACAAAGGAGACGGAGCAACCATGGCGCCAGCTGCCACCGGTGGCACTGAGGCACGGATGGTTGGTATCAAACACTGGTAAATTCTTCGAAGGATCATGCTATCCATTCTTCATTTTTTTGAACGAAAGCCGTCCATTCTTTCTGCCTGCTTTCTGTAGTTGCGCTATCGCTAGTGCGCACCTTTCTAATAGCACGCTCCAACATCCATCCTTTGGAAGTCGGATAGTGCTGGCCCAGTGACCCACTCCAATACTGCTTCCAATTCCTTAGTTGGATTCCCTATCAGAATGCCATACAAGCTACGGTCCTGGGCACTATCTTATCAAAAAAAAAAAAAACAGAGAGAGAGAGAGAACTAGACTAGCAAGAATATACATGCTTTTTCCCTCAAAAAAGAATATACATGCTTATCAACTAGACTAAGGAACCAAGAGTCAATACACTATGTAGAGCATACTTTAAGCAGTAAGCACATATAAGGGCGTACCCAGTGCAGAGAGCTCCCGCTCTGTGCGGGGTCTGGGGAAGGGTGTCAGTGGCAAGCCTTACCCTCGCCTGTGCAATGCGAGGAGATCGCGACTCGATCCCAGGACCTTCCGGTCACCAGGCGGTAAGACTCTACCGCTTGCACCAGGCCCGCCCTTCAAGCAGTAAGCACATATGTTAAAGAAAATATTTCTGGTGATGTGGTACCAACATGGTTATTTTCATATGCATATAAAATAAACTTTGTGCCATGGTTATTGCTTATATATCCTGGTGCTTACGTCCTTGGAGAAGAATCTTAATTATCCAAGTGCATTTGAGATATGACATACCACCATCTTTCTCCAACTGGGTGCAGGTGGACAAGAAGTGCTTATGCTTATCTGAATTCACCTACCTTGTCCATGGATGGGAATGGCAGAAGCAAACATGTTGCCTCATATGTTCCGCAGGAGAGATGTATCATTTTCTGCTCATCAACTCCATGCCAGCCAAATGTCAATGCTCTTGCCATCTTTTAGGTGTTCCCGCCAAGGATAAGCTGGGGCGTGGGGAAATATCAGGAAATGTGGATGTGATTCATGTGTCTGTTATACTTTGGGTTGAATAAGCTGCAACTTATTTCCCATATGGAATTTAATTGTATGCCTATCTTCTAGTACTGCTTGAGAGATCAAGTAATAAGTACGGATAACCATGTTGCTTCACGTATGAAGCAAGATACTAATGAGAAATTGTCATTACAACATTGCTTGCCACTACGTTCTGTCATGTGAAACCTTGACTTCTTGAAGTACACAAGTCGGAATATTGCTTGTATTCAGGTTTCAAAGTATATTCGTGTTGGAAATCCATAAAAAACTATTAGCGCTAACAAAATGTTTATCAAGCTTGTGAGTCTGAGGGATCAATAACAAAACAAAAAAGAAAGAGTAAAACGCATGTACGCTAATGAATCCATTCCTTTTTTTTTAAAAAAAAAGGTAAACTGGCGGAAGGGGATGTAACTGTCAGCAAGAACATTTCTTCACGTTAGCATCATCCTAAATATAATTTTGTTGTTGAGCAAGGTTTAGGTACATGGTACACGGAGAAGTCAATAAAATTGTTTTAAAAAGGTATCAATAAAGTGTCCAGATTCTTAGTCTATTTGCAATATCAAATGTCCCATCACAACTCCTCCCTTTGTTTTCCATCCTTTCCTGTCTCCTCTCTCTATGGTTTCTGTCTTCCTAGGCACTTCGGGGGTGCAGGTCTGTTTCCTGTCTTTCTTTACTATATATTTTTGTGGGTTGTTTCCTCTTCTCTTAATAAAACATGTGCATACCATGTTCTATAAAAAAAACTTCTCCCTTTGTTTTATTTGCAGTGCCTATACCTTTATATCTATCAATGACGGAATAATTTAACATTTTAAAGTCAGAGAGTCATTGCATTTTAATTCTAGTGGCCCATGAACTTACCATCAAAGTGTTTTTTTTTTATTTGGCAGACTGAGTGTCTCATTCGTTAACAGTGAACCTAGCTACACAATTGTACAGAGGAAATACAATGAAATTTTCATAGGAATGAGAAGTAATCTCTTGCACAACACATAATTTACCTTGGTCTTGTTTGCTCAGAAAGCTGCATAGTTCACCGCAAAGAAATAGGGTGAGGCTCAAGTGAATGATACGGTAAAACAATCATAAGTACAGGTCAATTGATTGTCTCAAAAGATATCGACATGGTACAAGTAAAGGCAAATCATGAAAACCTAGAAGATGTGGAGCTTACTTTACTCTACAGCAAGAAATCAGCCCCCACCAAACCCCTCTCTCTAAAAAAGGAGGAAAAATTCCACCGAAGTTTCATTTTTTTTTAGACAAAACCACCGAAGTTTCATGGGGAATGCAAAATGCAGAGATAAAAATTATGGGGTGATCCAGACAGCGAACCTAGCCACGGTTTGCAGGGGCGAGCAAGCAGCCGCGCCAAGCTTCTTCGAACGAGTCGACGCGCGGAGCATAGTCCTCGATTCCATTTCCGCCGATCCGACGATCGCCAAGGCCCCCGGCGGCTCGGCTCTGTATGCTCCGGCGTCCCTTCGGCAGTCGGCGGCGGTGGGGAACTTACGCTTTTCTGTGCCGTAGGTCCACGTCAACGTAACGTTTTGTGGCCTTTGGGTGGTAGTAGTTTGGGCTTATGGGCCGTAGTCGTCAACGTGCACCGAAGAAAATCGGCCCGGCCTAATCTGTAAGGCCGAGCGACATGGATTCATCCCTCTCTTTCCTCAAAAAAAAAAAAAAAAAAAAAAGGAGAGAGAGAAAGAAAGAAAAGAATTCATCTCCTCTCTAGCAAAGTAGCAAATGGCAATGAATTCATCTCCTCTCTAGCAAATGGCAATCACGATTCTCGTAGCAGTATTCGCAGTGATAAAAAAAGTAGCTATATTCGGAAGGAAAAAAATTATTTTACTTTTTCTAAACTATAGTTGTAGTCTGTTTTTACTGCTTGAACGGTAAAACCAGACACCTTATCTTTTGAACTCTCGAAACCATTCAAATTATCTATTGCCTTAGTTTGAAGTAGTTTTGAAGATGGTTTTATCTTTTTTTTTATTTCAAAAAATTTAGTAGATAGTTGATAAGTGTTTTAAACCACATAAAATATCTCTAACCTTCGCAAAATTGCAATAAATATCATAATATAATATTGGGATAAAATAATACAAATTAAATATTTAGAGCTTGTGAAAATATATCTAGAAACTTTAAAAATTAGATTTAGCTCGAGAAAAATAAGAAAAGTATCCATAAAAATCTAGAAAGTTTTAAAACACTCTAATCAATGTCTAAACATGTTTTTAGAAAAAAATCACTACAAAATATGAGATGTGTCCATTATAAATGCAACAAACATTAATATACAATGTGTTCATACTATGCATTAGTGCTAATTGTGTCTTATGTTTATCTATTGCAAAAAGTTTCCAAAACATGGTTAGACATAAATTAGAATGTTTTGAGAAATTTCTATAATTTTCATAATATTTTCCCATTTTCCCATAGCTAAATCTAGTTTTGAGAAGCTTCTAGAGATATATTCACCAGCTCTAAATTTTTATTTGGATTCTTTGCTTCTTAATCTATTTATAGGATTTTAAAAAAAATTCTAGAAGCTTAGAGACATTTTTCCATGGTTTAATAACCTTGTCAAGTATTTTATTTATTGTATCTTTTGAATAGAGAGGGGACAAAAATCATCTTCAAAACCACTTTAAAATAGGATGAGGAGGTAGTTTGAACAATTTTGAAAGTTTAGGAGGATAATATGTCTAGTTTTAGAGCTTGATGTGAAAAATCATACTACGAGAACAATTCATGAGGTAAAATGCACATTTTCCTATTTGTATTCAAATTCATGCCTTACTAGACTGTGGGCTATATGTGGGCCAGAAAATAATAAAAAGAAAATCAGTCGTGTTATCTGTACCTAATAATAAAGAGGCAAAATTTCTGCCACTTTTTTTCTTTCGTCTAGTCTATCCGTGTCCGATATGTTCATGGCTTGAGATCGAGGAGTTCTGTGGTTTGGGGAAGAGGATGAGAAAAAGGAAATAGAAGAGAAGGAAGGGTTCCAGGTGCAAAAGTGCAAAGGGAAATAAAAGGTGGAAGGATCTAAATTGAATTCAAGAAACTCAAGGATTTCTGGTGTAAAAGTTCAGTCCACATTGGGTCTTTTGCTGCAAGGCTGAAATCCGTCTCGTGGGCCTTTTGCGCCAGTGGACTGGGCCGAGCCGTGGCCTTGCTCCTTTTCTTTTTTTCTGTTTTTCTTTGTTCCGGTGAAACAACAAACTTGTAAATTATGTGGATATTATAGAAATAGAAAAATAAAAAATAACTCCTCTTGACTAGGTCTACACTCTAGAATAAAATATTTAGTGTAGCTATAGATCTATGTTTTTTTCATAAGCTGATAGAGAATGTTTCCTTACTCCTTTTGCAGTGAAATTTTTATGATAACATTTTCTATTGATGTGTAATCTATGGTAAAATTTTCATATACAATGAACGCATATTGACTGAGTTAAAGTTTAAAAGAAAAAACAATCCAAATGAAATACAACGTAGGAGCACAAAGCACTCGAGCCCACACCACCACAGGTGACAAGTCTATCTCCTCGCAAATAGTGATGCAAGTGGGATTAATACTCCTACAGGCGGCCCGCACGATGCCGCATTAGCCGCTTACAAAACTTGTGTATCTGCATGGCTAGGCCCTACACTTGGTCTTGCCGCCACCGCACAGAAGCGTCTCATTGCATCTGCGTCAGAAACAAGAATTGATAGGAAGATCAAGATTCCTTAGCTCGAAGGCCACAACGGCGAGGCGACCGTGTGGTGTTCACGGAGTGTGATGCCATGGAGCGGCGATGCAGAGCCAAACTTGACAACTGGGGCTCCAATCTCTACAAGCTCAGTGGTCCTAATATATGTGAAGCATCTCATTGGGGCCAACGCCCACGATGAGACTATATCTGGGACACTACTCATTAGCGGTAGATTAGTTACAGTGCTGGCGTTCCGACCACGGCTCACCCTATCCTACATCATGCATTATGTTGAAAACAACAACGTACTAGCACACTTCAGAAAGTACGGAGGAAGGATGACGTGCCCTGCATGGGCGAGCTAGAGGTGATAGTGGCGGTGCTTGAGGAGAGGTCGACGAGGTGGAGGAGACGAACCACAATTGCAATGGGTGTTCGCACACTAAACAAAATTTGATCTTTTGATATAAACAATTATTTCTTTTACATCTAAATCTTTAGTTGAATAAAAATTAGTATAAATTTTTTATTAACCCGTTGCAACGCACGGGCAATATTTCTAGTCAAAGAAAGCAACCGAACATAGGAGGCATGACACGTTGCTAAAGCTTTAAAGGCAACGGGTATCAGGAGGATTGCCGGAGCAAAGGCGACTAGGCGAGAGCAAGATGCAAACCGACAGTTGAATCAAACACACGTGAGGGACCAAGACGAGCATAAAAGGAGGCCAAAAATAGGCACTGCTAGATGCTAGCCCACCCGAGCTGAGCGCCGGGATCGCACAGCCCCAACTAAACTCCGCCTGCCGGTGGTTGCGGAGGGCACCGCGTTCGCATGCTCGCCAGCCACGGTTCCAGTGCATGCCCAGTTGCCCACCGTTCCCCGGTATATAGTACTCCCCCGAGGCTCCCCAGCGCTCCCGTAAACGCGTGTCGCGCCCGTCGCCAAGCAAACACCGCCTGGCACCACGACGCGCGCGCCGTGCTCCCCGGCGAGCCAAGGGCCACTGCATTTTGTTCGCCCCCGATCGCGCGGCCGGGGCAGCGCGCTCGCCGCAGGTGCATGCGTGCGTGTGCGCCTTCGCGTCCTGGCCCGCAGCTAGCTCCAAAGCAGCAGGCGCGCCCCCGCCCCCCGCACCAGCGCGGCGCGCATGCATGAGCGTCCGCGCATGCCTGCCTGCCGCCCCGCGTTCCGAGCCGAGTTCCCCAGCTAATATCCAGCGAGCCGGCCTGTTCCCGAGCGGCTGATTCGTTTGCGTTGCCCACTGCCGGGGCCATGGATCAGCACCGGAAGAGCAGCCTCAGGTCGTACGCGTCCAACGCCTCGTCCCGGTCGGGGTCCTTCGACTTCGACCACGACCAGGACAAGGAACGCGCCGGCCTGACCGGCGACGGCGACCGCCGGGAGGTCGTCGTCAAGATCGACGCCGAGCCGCACTCTCCGGTCTCCCTCCACACGCCCGGCGGCGTGTCCGGGCACAGCTCCGCGGTCAGCACGCCGCGGGCCGGCGGCGCGGTGAGCATTCTCGCGCCGTCTGCGTCCGGGTCGAGCGCGTCGACCTCCAGCGCCGGGGGCGACGCGTCCCGCTCAGGCGACTCGTTCAGTTTCAAGAACCGCCCGCCGCAGTCTCCGGCCAGCGGGGAGTCCAGCGAGGATCCGCCGAGCCGCCTCATTGGCAGCTTCCTCCGGAAGCAGGCGGCGGCTGGCGGCGAGCTGTCCATCGACCCCGACTTCGATGTGGACGAGATGAGAAGGCCACCACGCGCGTCGACATCTGCCAACGCCTCCAGGGAGCTGCGCGTCTCGTTCCAGGACCCCCGGAAACGGTTCTCCCCGTCCACGTCGACGGCGTCCTCCTCCTCCTACGACGCCGGCGACAACCGGAATCAGAGCACCATCGACTTGGACACTGCCGAGGTGCTACGCTGCACGTCGACGTCCACCGGTTCCTCCCTGCTGGCGCGCAGCAAGACGCGATCGAGGCTAATGGATCCCCCGCCGCCGTCGACGTCGAGCGCCCCCGCCGGCGAGGGGGATCCCCGAAAGTCATTTGTCTCAAAGGGGCTGCCGCCCAAGTCCGGTCAGCTCCGGTCGGGTCTTATCGGCAAGTCGGGGCTCATTGGCAAGTCGGGGCCCATCGGCAAGTCAGGGGGCTTCGACGATGAGGACGACGACCCGTTCGTGGACGAGGGCATGACCTCGGACTTCAAGCGCGACACCATGGACTGCCTCCTCATCATGGAGTGGGTCAGCCTGGTGGTCATCGTGGGCGCGCTCATCTGCAGCGTCACCATACCCAGCCTGTCCAGAAAGAAGCTCTCGGGGCTCCACCTCTGGAAGTGGGAGCTCCTCGTGCTCGTGCTCATCTGCGGCCGCCTCGTCTCAGGCTGGGTGATCCGCATCGCCGTCTTCTTCGTCGAGCGCAACTTCCTCCTGCGGAAGAAGGTGCTCTACTTCGTCTACGGCGTGCGCCGCGCCGTGCGGAACGTGCTCTGGCTCGGGATCGCGCTCGTGTCCTGGCACCTCCTGTTCGACAAGGACGCCAAGCGGGAGACGCACACGCTGGTGCTGACCTACGTCACCAAGGTGCTGTGCTGCCTCCTCGTGGCCACCGTGATCCGCCTCGTCAAGACGCTGCTGCTCAAGGTGCTCGCCTCGTCCTTCCACGTCTCCACCTACTTCGACAGGATCCAGGAAGCGCTCTTCAACCAGTACGTCATCGAGACCCTCTCCGGCCCGCCGCTAGTGGACGAGAGCCGGATGATGGCTGAGGTGCAGAGGCTCCAGAGCGCGGGAGCATCCATCCCCAGTGAGCTCGAAGCGACAGCGATGCCGGGCAAGTCTGGGCCACCCAAGAGTGGGCGCCTCACGACGGTCGCGTCCAAACGAGGAGGAGCAGGAGGGACCAGCAAGCAGCTGCATAGGCAGAAGACCGAGCTCCATCTGGATGACGGCATCTCGATTGACCAGCTTCACAGGCTCAGCCAGAAGAACATCTCTGCGTGGAGCATGAAGAGGCTGATGAAGATCGTCCGGTACGGGGCGCTGACAACGATGGACGAGCAGCTCAAGCATGCAACGGGCGAGGACGAGCTGGCGACAGAGATACACAGCGAATACGAGGCCAAGGTTGCTGCCAAGAGGATCTTCCAGAACGTCGCCAAGCCTGGATCCAAGTGAGAATTCGACCACTTACTAGCACATCTCTTTGAAATTTAAGTCTTTGGCGGACATTTGTATATCCAAGTAATTAACATACTGTTTGGAACATCATGGCAGCCTTTGTGATTCAGTTCTGAATTCTGAACCTATTGCAGGCACATATACCTGTCAGACTTGATGCGTTTCATGAGGCAGGAAGAAGCTTTAAAGGCGATGGATCTTTTCGAAGGAGCGCAGGAGCACAACAGGGTCAGCAAGAGGTCACTCAAGAACTGGGTGGTAACGATCTTAGACTCAAGAACTCCTCTTATCGATGCATCTCTCAGGGGAAAAAATAAAATTCGTGGTGCTTACTGAAGATTTCCTTTTTTAGCCATCGTGCCGAAGCACGTTTTTCATTAAGCAGAAAGGAGTTTTGTTACAATCCTTATGACCACGGTAATCCAAGGTTACCGAAGCCAGAAGCTACACAAGCTGAGCATAGCACGCGAGTGTGATTACACAATCATGAATTTTGCGACATAGAAGAGCTACTCTCGGATCAAGTCGCCGCCATCAGGGTCCTTAGGTGCTTGTAGCCAACCGAGCACCAGGCGTGTATCTCCTCCTAAATGACCACCTGCAGCCCTGCCGGCGATGTAGTATCCCTGCCGAAAGTCCTCGCGTTTCTCTCCTTCCAAATCAACCATCTGATCGTCTCCTGGATACAAACGAGGGTGGCCCTTTCCTGGACCAAGAATTCCCTCACGACATTGCGGCGTGCGCGACCGTTTAGTCCGCGCACGTTCCAGACGAAGCATGTGGGCAAAGACGACATAAAGAAACAGTTGTGCGACGGTAGAAACATGGGACGCCGGAGACTACGTCTCAACAGCGTCCAACTCAGCCATGCCAAGGCCCATGGCCATTGGGTCGAAGTCGCTGTTAAAAAGGATCTGCAGTGCCTGCTGCTTGTTGGCCGACATGTTGCCCCCACGGAACGTGGCCTTGAACTTCCGCTCAATCTCCAGGTCTGGTGCGCTGGTATCCACATGCACCCCGAGCTTCTTAAGTAGCACAATCTGTGCTTGCTCGGTGGCGTTCGCCGCCCGCGGCTTTGCCAATAAACCGGCGCGCTTCTGGCAGCAGAGAGCCAACGGAGATCGGTGTGCGGGAATGACGAAGGCGCGGGCTCTGCCGCGAATGAGGGGGACCGCAAGGGGCGCACATCATGTCCTCGAGCTCTTCGAACGGCGACCCGCCAGCTCCGCCCACGCACGCGGCTCTGCTTGTTCGGTAGGGGGGTAGTATCGACGACGGCGGGTGTAGATCCGGCCGGGCGACATGCCCGGATTTGTCTGAGGGGGTAGCGGTGACGCGATACGATCGCAGCGACGTCCCCTTTCGATGCGGCGTCGGCATCATCCGGCCGAGCAAGGCAAGGAGCCCATCGCTACCCACGTGAACGCCCAAGCCGCAATCGTCCCCCGCCGAGGCGTCGGCATCTTCCGCCCAATGAAGGCAAAGAGCCCACCGGTACCCACGTGAACGCGCCGGCTGCAATCGAAGTGATGTTCAATAAAACGACTTCGCCAACATGGCAATGGGCTAGACCTGAAAGTGCAGCAACGCGAAGAGAACGACCCATGGCAAGCCATCACGAAGGCCTCGTCACAATCCCGGCCTCAATCAAGATCGGATCCTCACCTGCACCCCTAAGGTGAATGGGGTTGTTCGCATCCACGGCACGGAAGTCAACTTCCCAAACCAATGACCGCGCGTTAGGGCTGCCGGCGCCAGGCGCGCTCGACATCCGAGCACCAACAGACAGCGATAGCTGAGACTTTTCTCGGTCTTGCTTCCGCGGCAACGCGACATCTCGCTTATCTCGCGCGCAGGGGGGACCAGCACCGAAGCGACGCGCGTCCGCACTGGGATCATGCCCCGCCCCAAGCCACGATTGGCCCTCATGCGCGAAGCCCTTGCGGATGAGGGACCCACCGAACCACCTATGCATGCGCTGCGACGTCGTCGTCCGCAACTCCGGCATGGCATGGCATCGCTGCCGTAACGCCGGACCGGAGCCATGCCCCTGGCCGACGGGCCATCCCTCCCACCCGGGCGGAAGGTGGCCGGGCCAAACGGCCGAAGTACGCTGTGACGGGCCATCCTCCGCACCTGGGTGATATCCATTGTAATGCATCGTCACCGCAATCGTCGGAGTCGTCGCCGTGCCGGAAGCCACCATCATCGAGAGGAGATTGAAGGGTCCCAATCTCGATATTCGACGACACGCATCCGAAAGCGAGGTAATGCAGGATGGGCAGCTCGGAGTGAATGATCTCGTGTTCCCGGAGAAGCAGAATGCCCGGGTCCGCGCGGCTCCGCGGTTCCGGGATGACAAGGAGCTTCGCTCCGGCACCAAGAGCGGTGAAGGCACCGGCAGGTGACATTTAATAGTTCACGCGCGTCGTCGTCTGTCAACCCCACAAGATCGGGCCGGCGATCTCGACTGGGTGCAAGAAGACCCAAGGAGGTGCGCAGCCACATCCCCATTGAGGGCATGGGCAGAACGCCGTTAATCCCAACCAGACCTTGTAGGTGAATGCACCGCCATCATCACCGCGAAAGGCGAGACCAGCGTCGCCAGAGCAACACGAACGGCGGTTGCCACGGTGGTGGCCGGAGTTGAGGACGCGCCGAGGTCATCCCGACCGCGAAACGAACGATGAAGTCCTCGGGCGTAATTTGCAGAACCGACATCGCGTCGCCCTCGATGTTGAACCCGTCACGAAGGTGCTCGCGCACCATAGCGGGGTCACCGGCGGCTCGGTACCGCCAACCAAGGCCACCGAAGCGGCGACAAGGCGTCCTCCGCGGCTTGAATCTCCGCAGTGCGCAGGACGATGACCAACTCAACCGCCGGGCGTTGAACAGGCTGAAGGCACCGGTGGCTGCCACGCCGGAGCTGCAAACGCGGTCGCGACGACTGGCCCCCATCCGGCGGCGCTGAGCTGCGGCGTTGCGGTCGCTTCGATGTGGTCGAGCCGAGGCCCCGAAGCCACCATGGCGGGCGCCGGTAACGGTAGCATCGCAGAGGTGGCTGATCCACGCCTATAGGGCTAGGAGGCGCACAACAACGTGGTACCAACGGCGAAGCGCCGATGGACACAGAGCGGGCCGAGACCGTGTCATCTCGAGGCGGCCTCGGCCATTGGGGGAACGGCAGTGCCTCCGGGGGCACGACGAGCAATGCCTGGCGAGCGGCCTCGCTTGGCCCCGGTGACAAAGGTGGCCATCGGGCAGAAGCGCGCACGATGGCCCTCTTGGCGACAGGTACGACAGCGCGGAGGGAAACGACAGTTCGCCCGGATGTGGTCATCACGTAGGCAGTTGAAGCAAAGGCCAACCAGATCCGGCGGAACTGGCCTTGCAAGGGTACGCGATGGCCTGCGGCGCCAACGCCGGCAGCTGTGAACCTCACGGAAGCCGTCGTCGTCCGGCTCAGCCGAAAGCCTGGGCGGGTGGACCGCAACCGAGCGCAGCCTGGCCATGGGCGGAGGAGAGGCCGTGGCAGCCTGGTGAGCGGAGGCATCCTGCGCAGCGCGGCGTCGATGACGACGCCGGCGCCGTGGTCGCCTGCGACGCTCCGGGATCTCCCCAACCTCAGCGACGTTGGTCGGCGAGGGGGCCGCAGAACCAAGAGAGGCCTCGGAGTCGGAGAAGCAGAGTCTTTCCCCCCGACTGAACCACGAAACAGCCGGCAACAAGCCCGGGACGAAAGGCTCAGCGTTGGCGTTGAGGGGTGGCGACGAAGAGTGAGGCAGCGAGTCGGCCTCCTCGACCTCGTCGGCCCAGGAACGGCGAGAGGGAGAACCGAACTCCATGGCGGCTGGGGTGGACGCTGGCACCGGAGTGGCAACCGGCGTGGGGCTGGGGAGTGGTTGGTGGCCAGCGGCGGCCGGGTTGGCCGCCGGCGGAGCGGGGACACCTAAGACATTGCTTTTTGGTCGGTTCGATGTTTACTGAAGATTTCCAATCGCTGTCGTCTGAATGCTGTAGGTAAACGCGTTCAGAGAGCGCAAAGCTCTTGCCCTGACGCTCAACGACACGAAGACGGCAGTGAACAAGCTGCACCAGATGGCCAACGTTGTGGTCGTGCTGATCGTGCTTGCGCTCTGGCTTCTCATCCTGGGGATCGCGACGTCCAAGTTCTTCGTCTTGCTCAGCTCGCAGCTTCTCGTGGCGGTGTTCATGTTTGGGAACACTCTCAGGACCATCTTCGAGGCGATCGTGTTCCTCTTCGTGATGCATCCTTTCGATGTCGGCGACCGATGCGAAGTTGATGGAATGCAGGTTACTACTAATTCTCGTTAACGCACTATCTTATCTGCAATATAAGGAGGAATTGCTTTGCACCAGCTGATGAGGAATTTGCATCGTCAGGTGGTGGTGGAGGAGATGAACATCATGACAACGATCTTCCTCCGATATGACAATCTCAAGGTGTATTATCCAAACAGTCAGCTAGCCCAGTTACCGATCATGAATTACTACAGGAGTCCTGACATGGGAGATGCGGTGGACTTCACAGTTCATGTCGCAACACCAGTGGAGAAATTGACCCTAATGAAGGAGAGACTAATGCAGTAAGTACTACTAATGCCTTTTAATTAACCTTATATATATGAATTTCTCGAAATTAGAAAATGTTCGTTCTGTTATTACGGCTGCTGTAATGTACTAGTAATAATCATGCATTATTTATTTAAAAAATTCAGTTACCTTGACAACAAGAAGGAGCATTGGTACCCTGGCTCCATGGTGGTCCTGCGCGACGTGGACGACACGAACAAGCTGAAGGCCTCCATCTGGTGCCGCCACACGATCAACTTCCACGACATGGGGCTGAGGTTCGAGCGGAGAGAGCTTCTGCTCCAGGAGATGATCAAGATCTTGAGAGACCTCGAGATCGAGTACCGGATGCTGCCGCTCGACGTCAACGTCCGGAACGCGCCTACCATCCAGTCCTCGAGGATGCCGTCGACATGGACGTTTAATTACTGAGATGAGATTTTTTGCTGGATACACATTAGACTTTGTTATGAGATTGTTCTGCTAGAGGTAGTAGTTCCTGAGTGAGTTGAGCTGTGACAGCGTGCTGAGACGAGAGGCAGCAGGTCTTGCTGTCGCTGCAGCCATCACTTGTGCTTTCCCTGTAGTTATTGTGTTGTTGGTCCCTACTCCATAGTTTAATTTGGTGCTTATGATAAGTGAACTTCTTCTGCTACAGAGAATAATGTTGATTATCTAGCTTATTTAAAATACTGAATTTCTGAAGTTATTACATCAAAATATGCCATGCCTGTTCTCGAAACAAAAGTATTGGTTTCTGTCAGTCGAATATGGCAACTGTTCTGCAGAAACAGACCTGACGGAGTGACGGGAACGCAATGTTGAACACAACTGAAAACACAACAATCATCAGATATGGCGCCTTTTATGTCACCTATTGTTGCTCTCCCTTGGCCGGCCGTGTCCGGAGCAGCAGCTGCCGGGAGCGCACGCGCACCTGCAGCCTCACGAGCACCTTCATGCACCGGATGGCGACGTTGGCCTGTTTCCGCACGTACGCACCACGCGCGAACGCCTGCAGCTTCACCAGGCTCCTCAGGGCGCGGAACGCCTGCCTCGCCTGATCAAACCAAACGGATCGATCGACTTCAGAGCCTGAAGTTTTAAGCAAGCAGAACAGCATGTTTAGCGTGCGCTGCGTACCAGGTGGCCGCGGAAGTAGGCCTGGAGCCCTGGATGGTGGCGGCCGCAGCGCGCTCCCAGAGAACTCCTGGTTGGCAGCTCCGGGTGCCTGGATGGGGGCGGCATCTGTATCTTTTGCAGGCCTCGGTTCGACGGCCCTGGTCGTCATTCCGCAGGGGGCAGACCGCGCGAAGACACGGTTCATCCCTCGCAGGCGCAGCCACCGGCGACGGCGAGGCGGTGGCGTCTCGTGCCGCTCCACGTTTGCGCCGCGACTAAACCGCGCGGCGCCGGATGGCCTGGTGCGGTGGAAGAAGCTCTGCTTATTAGCGCCGTCCGTACCACCGTGGAGGCTGTCATGGCGGTGCCGAGGTTTCCCTTTGCGATGGCGCGTGCCGAAGCGCCAAAGAAGGCGTCGGAGGAGCGTTTCCATGTGGCTATCGATCTGGTGGTGGTGCCAGTGCCTCAAGGCGGAGATGCGAGTCGACGTGGGGCTTTTCAATTTCAAATAGTGCGCCGCGGATTTGGCTGCAAGGAAGGGAACGTGGCGGGATGAAACAGAGCGATGAGCTGTGCTGTATCTTATATTGATTGATGATGTACCGTTTTTTTATACACATTTACTCGTCTGTAGGTGTCTGAAATTTTGCGTTTCCACCAGCCGACGTTCTCGGGCGTCGTCGATCGAAGACTGATGATCCAGATTGTCCATCTTCCTCCTGGGTTCAGCCACACTGTTCATCTTCTTCCGTGGTTCAGGGTTTGGGATTCCAGTGGCGGCGGCGGCTAGGGTTCTGGCGGCCTACGCCCCACTCTTCTTCCTCAACTCTGGCGGGCTTAGAAGGGGGTTGGGGGAGGCAGGCCGGTTAGATAGTGGAGACGGCGGGAGGGCGGCTTAGGATCCTAGCGACGTCGGAGGCGGCCAGACTAGGTCGCCACTGGCCCGCTAGGGTTTTGCCAGAGCTCCACGTCCGCGGGAGGACATTACGACGAGAACGAGAGGAGCGTGACAGGAGTTAAAGGTGATTAACGTTTTATCGAAGCATCACTGACTTGTGAGAGTGATGTACCCTTTTTTATAAGAAAAACCCCGACATACAAGCCAGGAGTTTCAATTACTCTCCCCTTCCTAGAAATCAACTTCAAAGTTATATAATTTAAAAGTATTTTAAATTTAATTATTTTTATAAAAACTAGCAAATATGTTTATATGTTGTGACAGAAGGGGAAGAATTATCAAACGTTCAAAAAAGATAACAAAAATGGTACGTATTATCTATTTATATTTAATCCTTTCAATAAAATTCAAAAGTTATGATTTATTTTATAATGACCATGACATCTATAATATGTATAATCTGGGGTTTATTTGCTTTAGTTGTGAGAAGTAAAAAAAGCTGTTGTGAGCTATATTGTGGAAATGACGTAAGCTATTTGGCTATCTCCTCTCTCTAGCTCAATTAAAATAGTTGTGAAATAGCTCTCATTTTCACCAATTTCGAAAGACAGAAAGCCAAAAGTAAAGTCCAAGGTGCTTTCAAAACCATACTACATGAAACTAACTTTTCTGAAAAAGCAGGTTTAGGTTTCACCTGTTTGGTTGGTTTTTTTTTTTTTTGCAGCATAAGCACTTTTCATAAGCTCAACCAAACACAATCTTAATATTGGCAATAATAGGACAATGTACTATTAAGCTTTCAAATTAAAATGCAACCTTAAAACATTTTTTTCTTCCATAGCAAAGCACAAAAATATTTATTCATAAATATAGCATAACTTTAATTTTTACAATTTAATATTGAGTTTTGTAATCTCATTTGAGGACTCATAAAAATATGTAATTCTAATCACTAATTAAAGTCGATAGGAACTTAGTTGTTGACTTGTCAAGAACCAGTCCGTGAGCTAATGATTATGGCAGTAGAGCCGTTGATGATTACGACGGTAGGCCTCTCTCAATTTTTCGCTAGTATATACAACATGGAGACATATTTACTTAAATAGGATTGAACAACAACCTGCTTAAGATTTCTTTTATCTCAAACCTGCTTAAGATTTTACTTTACTAATAATACGAAATACGGAAGAGTACTGATATCGATGATATGAAATAAATACACTACAAACATATATTTCACGGTATATCTAATAAACCTATTTTGAGGTTCATGTTTTTCTATAAATTGAGTCAAAATTAAGATAATTTAACTTAGATAATTCTATAAGTTATTTTTTTCAAACAAAGTACCACATGTTGTACTCTTTTCTGCTTTGCAATCCTAGAGTCTGTCTTGTCATATGTTGGCATGTGATCTACTCCCTCTGTCCCTATTTATGTGTCGATTGGGCGTCCTCCTACCTCTGAATCAGGACACATGTAACATCCAGATTCGTAAAAGGTGCTCTGAATCTGGACAGCAAGAACCATATCAAAAGTAATAAATAGGGAAGGAAGGAGTAGATAAGTAGAAGAGAAGTATTTTAGGTTCGGACTGGGATATAGGCTAATTTTTTTGCAGAGGATTTTGATTGGTTCTCATTTACTCTCTCTAATCACTGTTTCGGCATAATTTATCGTACTGGTACTGTACTTCCATGCTTTAACGTATACATATTTATTGAAAAAGTTTTACTCCCACATCGAGCGAGTACAAGGGGGCCAGGGCACTAGGAGTCTAGGACACTGAGCAAACCCTGTTCTTTACTGCAAAGAGGAAAAAAAATGCATTTCACCAGAGAGGAACGCACAGTGCAGAGCGCACAGGCAAAGAATCTCGACAGTAAAGAAAAGAAATTCAGAAAGAACACAGAATCCTCGCAACAGATTCGATGCCATGGCTCGTGAGCCCTGGCCCTGCGCCCCTGTCCATGGCTGATGGCTCTCGCGTGAGGCGTGACAGGGACGCATGCATCCTCCGTCCTCATGCATGGCAACATTCTTACACCCCCATGGCGACATCGTCCTCGTTTTCTCGCAGATCAATGTGTCCTCACAAGATTATTCGGTGCGCTGGGATTATCTACGTTTTTTTCTCTCTTTCGATACGAGAACAAATAAGAAATAAAATCCATTGATTTTTCTGCTCACACAGACTTGCGCTGGCGCAAAGCAAATTGTCATATAAATTATCAGGAACCTTTATGTTTATATTTTCTCTCCCTGTCGACATTTTTAATTGCGTAAACTTTTTTAAAAAGAATGGGAAGGAATGCCCGCGGCATGATGACATCCTGGGTGCGCTCTATAAAACCTGGAGGACGTATCGTGTTGTTGTGCACTGTGTTGTCATCTCCCGCGCCGCCTTGTTTGTGTGCTTCCGCGCTTAACGCGTACGCGTGAGCGTTGCTTCTTCTGTGTTCTGTCCCTATGGGCTCCCTGGCCACCGCGGACGAGCCGTCATTGCCGCCGCTCAAGTACCCTCAGGCTCGCCGGGACGACGACATTGTCGACGACTACCATGGCGTCCTTGTGCCGGACCCCTACAGATGGTGAGTCTTAAATATTTATGTGCGTTCCTGCTATTTCTTGCTATCTTTCTGCCCTATATTCCTTCGAGGCATTTTTGCATTTGCTTGCGCCTTCAGCCCTTCAGCGTTTTGGAGATTATGGTGGTGTTCCTAGCACTTTGTCCGTAAAATTTGCTTCAATAACAATTTGCATGCCAAGAACGAACGTAGGGTGTAGAGAAACGCATTTTGCACGTTCAATATCCGGTTCTTAGCGTAAAGTGAACGCCACATAGCTTTTCTTCAGGAAAAAGCAGTTACTTTGCTACATTTTCGTGTTCCAATCTACCGTTTTTACTATAAACGCGCTTTGAGATGCTACCGAAATGACGACTTTAATGTATAATCCAAGAAGACAACCTGTGCTTTACCTAATAAAATGGTGGTAATTTATTTTATTTTGCTCTTCAAAAAAAAAACTCGGGCTGCGGGGGGCAGCCCCCGAGCTATTTTAGCTTGAGGTAGAGGACTCTCACCTCAGCCCGAGAAAACCCCCGAACCCCATGTCCAGCCGGCATACAGGGGCCCGTTACACGGTGAGTGGGCCAGTCCTTGTACCTGTGCTTTGGAAACGTGGGAAAGGTGAGGGCATTTTTTTAAACCTCCGACCCCGATATCGCCCCCAAGGGGGTTCAAACCTAGGTTGGCAGGGTGGGAGCCGGACATCCTCTCCGTTTGGACTAGGTCTAACATTTAGAAGTTTTGCTCCAACTTTGAATAGCGAGAAATTTGGAATATATGATGGCAATATTCAAAGATTTAATTGAAAAACATTGTTGGGTTTTTTCCCTCACCAAAATCGCTATTTCAATCAATACAGAAGAATATAAAAAAGACTCTTGTAGTTACTTTAAGGAACGTCCAAGATATAGAAAAATAGTTAGAGTAAAAAAGATATAGAAAACGGTTTTATTTAATTAGTTCTATAATGGTTTTCTCAATCCTTAGAGCGTCTTCTTGACAAACGCTAAAGCTGCACCAACAGGTAATAGTGAAAGTACATTCTATATTAAGAGCAAGTATAACAATAATTCAAGCTATTTAGTATTTTTACTAATGTAGAGGAGAGAATAAAAAAGAGAGAACCTACTCTGATATAAGCAATAAGTTGGTATGGAAGCCTATAATAATAGGTTTAGATAACAAGTGAATGTAAGGAGGACTAAAAAAAGTAAAGGTGAGAAATGGATAAAATATTAATAAAAATAAAATAAAAACAGCTATCATATAACTTGGTTTTTATAGCTCAATTTATACTTCAACACTTAGCTTTATTATTGGACTTGTTCTTATAAATACTTCCCCGTGCTAATCATCGTTTCTCGAAAAGATTGCTGATTTCTCACCATGGTGGCCGCATCTCGGAGTACACGACTACACGTGCACAGTGCACAGTGCACAGCGCACTAGCTACTCTCTGTACATTGGTCACTACCGCAGAAAGGGGCACGGTTTACACTGCCGGTGCCGGATCGCCACCCTGACCCAAACCACGCCAAAACTGACAAGACTGGACAAAATGATAATTCGAATGCAAGCTCACTGCTCTACTGTTCAAATGGGCTTATTTAGTTGTACTTCACTCTAATTCATATCGGAGTAAGGTAAAAAATTAATTTATTTATCATCTTAATTCCTGTCAACCTATTTGATTAGAATAGATTGGAGTACAAGCAAACAAATCCTAAAATAAATTATTACTTATAGGGTCACAAATTTTTGAATTAGTTATGTCAGTAACAAAACTTGGTATTGGCTCTGACGTATCGCCCTAACGCACCATCTTTAACATAGATTTACAGTTATCGAGTGAGCTATAAAAAAATTTCGAGCTCAAATATTGCCGCCTCCTAGAGTGACATATGGAGCCCACTCATGAGTGTGACAATTTATCTTTTTCATTTTTCCTTCTTTTTTTCTCGGCCTCCCTACTCACCAAAAAAAGTCTAGTAGAGACGGTCCCCATGAATAAATCATGGGCACCACCGTTGATTTGCGACCTTATCCACACACATACATCTAATGCATGAAGCTGTTGCTTAAATTTGGAAGAAATAATTAGAAAAAATTATATCCCTCTCATAGATTGGATGCATGCGCATGGACACCCCTGAGTAGGTGGCGTGGACAGGCCTCTTGGTGTTGTCAGGCATCTCTCAAGCTCCTCTAGCGTGAGTTCTCCGCACAAGTGGTTGGGCCACCTACCAAAAATAGGTGAAAAAGAAGACCAGATCGGGGGAAGGTTTCCCTCTATGGGCTGGGAGGCCGAGGTTATTGCTTTTTTTTTTTTGGCATATCTCCGATCCTATTTCCAATAATAACCTTTTAAAAAAATTGGCTTCTGAGTTGAAGTATTCTAAGTACCAATTTGTAGTACACAGATACCAATTCTCATAGTTTAAATTTGATATCTCTTAACACCTTCGCAATATGAATTTCCTAAAAAAAGAGAATAAGGCTTGGTATGAAATGAATGCAAAAGTTTGGAAAATAATTAATTAGTCATGCGTAGCTTGTTCATTCATTCTCAACTCGTCAAATTTTAGTCCTTAGGCCCGTTCGCTTGGATGAATCTGGAGAAATCTGGATGGTTTTGGATGAATTTGGAGGAATTTGTGAGAGGAAAACACTGTTTCGGATGAAAAAGAAGCGGATCAAGCCGGATTTAAGGGCACGCGAACGGGGCCTTAGTTGGTACCATCAATTTATAATTCGTCAGATTTTAGTCCATTGGAGATACCAAATTTTATACCTCCCTATGTACAATTTTATTTTTTGGTACCCTCTACTGACGGTAGAAGTAGAACCAACCTCGCCAGAAACATAAACGAAACTTAAACCTTCTTTCTTTTTTCAAACTAAACTTAGTGAACCTTTTTGTTCCCTTTGGTTTAAAAGAGTCTTTAGACATATCATGCTGACACACTGTTCTGCACCGTGAATCCGTGATTAAATAAACGTACGTCATTAGGATGGAGGAGCTGGATTCGAAGGAGGTGAAGGAGTTCGTGGACGCGCAGGCGGCCGTGGCCAGCGCCGTGCTGTCCACCTGCGACCACCGCGGGCGCCTGCGCGGTCAGCTCACCGCGCTGGCGCGCTCTTCGACCACCCGCGCTTCCGCGCGCCCTTCAAGCGCCGGGGCAGCTACTTCTACTTCCACATCCCGGGCCTCCGTCCGCACAGCGCCCTCTACGTGCAGCGCGGGCTGGGCGGCGAGCCCGACGTGCTCCTGGACCCCAACACGTTCAACGAGGACGGCACGGTGTCGCTCGGCATGGTCGGCGTGAGCGACGACGGCGAGCACCTGGCCTACGGCACCAGCGCCAGCGGCAGCGACTGGGTCACCATCAGGGTCATGCGCGTGCGCGACAAGGAGCACCTGCCCGATACGCTGTCCTGGGTGAGCAACTCATCAAGCCTGACGAGACGAGCTCCCTGTTGTTGAGAGTTCCATGTTTTTCATTAATAATAAAAAATGAATTTTGCTATATTTCATAAAAAAAATCACGATGCAGGTGAAATTCTCGCGCATCGCGTGGACTCGTGACGGCCGAGGTTTCTTCTACTCGCGTTTTCCGGCTCCAAGGTTAGTGCCGAAATTTGTAGTTTTATTTACACTGCTCGTTCTGAAGAAATGGCAACTGTGTTCCAAGCTTCAGTTGGCAATGTTGGTGCTGGTGAGCAGGGAAGGTGGTGGAGCGATGGATTCTGGGATCAAGACTGACGTCAATCTCAACCACGAAGTCTACTACCATTTTCTTGGAACAGAGCAGTCACAGGACGTGTTGTGCTGGAGAGACCCTGACCATCCCAAGTACATATACGTCCCTGAAGTCACAGAAGACGGCAAGGTATGTATGCTGGGCCAGCTGATTTTTTTTAAAATTTTGGTGCAAAAAAGGTTCTGCACCTATGCTGTGTTATCACTGACAGCATGAAAGATAATCGTAGTCTGATGATATCTGTTGTTACCTGTCGCAGTACGTGATCCTTTCAGTTTCGGAAACGTCAGAGCCGGTGAACAAGCTCTACTACTGCGACCTCTCAGCTCTAGCTCACGGGCTGGGCGGCACGAAGAGCACCCATGGCAACGGCATGCTCCCCTTCGTCAAGCTCGTGGACAGATTCGAGGCCTACTACGGACTCATCGCCAACAACGGCACCGAGTTCACGTTCCTCACAAACAAGAACGCTCCAAGGTACAAACTGGCGAGGGTCGACGTCGACGACGAACCCGAGTCGTGGACCGACGTCGTTCCTGAACACGAGAAGGCAGTCCTGGAATCGGCATGCGCCGTCCATGGCCACAAGCTGTTGGTGAACTACCTGTCGGATGTCAAGTACGTCCTGCAGATGAGGAGCTTGGTCACTGGGGAGTTGCTTCATGACATACCCATCGACATTGGCACTGTTAACGGGATCTCCGGCAGACGATCCGACTCCGAGGTGTTCATCGAGTTTGCGAGCTTCCTGTAACATCCGGCACAGGACTTAATAGGATTAATAGGATACTCGTATCAACAAGTTGTAACTTTTTTTTCTAGAAGTCCATCCCTTAAAAACTCCAAGGTTAAGCGTGGTTGGCATCGAAAGTTCTTTCCGGAAATGATGATGTGAAGGAGGCGTGATGACGAGCGGAAAAAGACCGGCCGGAAAGTTCTTCCCCGGATATAAGTTTAACTTGGCCTCGCAAAAGTGACGACAAAATCTACGCAGAAAACTACCAGATGTAAGTGATTAGCCTCATAAAAAGGACCTCGGAATCATTTTTAGGTGCGATGTAGAAAAACTACCAGATGTAAGCGAACTTGGCCTCATAAAAGCAGGACGTCTGTAAAGACAGTCTATGTCCTAGAAAAACTACCAGATATAAGCGGACCTGGCCTCATAAAAGCAGGACGTTACACTTCCTTACCCCCGGAATCATTTTTAGGTGCGATGTCAGCGCTGAGATCCCAGAGATGGACGTATACAGAGAAATCTCAGTTCCGGGCTTCGATCGAAACGAGTTTGAAGCAAAGCAGGTAACTAGTCTCTAACTGTACGTAAACAATGTTTTCACTGCGGTCACATGACATGATGGGATAAAAGGGCAAATACAATGCACAATTAATCCTTCATCTTACGATGAATCACGAGGATAATGGGCCCATTCACTGATGTGAAACTTGGCTGAAAAATACTGTTTTGGCTGGTTTGTTGGGAGTGAAAAATACTATTTGGCTGGTTGGTGAACAGTAACACGTGAGGGGGTTTTAGCCGGCTGGCTGATCTGATAAGACCAGCAAACGCAGCCAATATCTACCATCAGATCAGCAGCGGAAATAAACAATCACATGTACAATAGACACAACGATCTACATGGAAAACCTCCTCAAGGTGAGGAGTAAAAAACACGGGACCAATCGGTCCACTCCAAGCTTCAAGCTTCCACTATAATCAATAATGGGTACAAGAAGTCTTCTCTAGAGCATCTAGAGGATTACACCAGTAGCAACACATTCATCAAGTTACAAACTTGGCCTCAGCTACAACCACAACCTTTTAGCAAAGAGGAATAACAACAGCCAAACAGAGAAGTCACAAATTCTGTCCTTCACGATAATCAGTTCATATCTCACAAACTATAGATTCACTGTGCACGAATTTTGGTAGGCAAGTAGATCCATGAGTCCCCTAACCATTGACCAAATTTCAACTCAATCAGACACCGTTTGACCACCCAAACAATTCATCTACCAAAAACTACTATGTTCTAAAACTACAGTGACCCGAACTGACAAAACCCCTCTCAAATCTGGTGCTCTACTCAACCAATCATCAAACAAACTTAACAAATCGAAGTACTCTAAGTGAGGAACGATCTCACTATCGGTGCGGGACCCACAGGATACCTCGCAAGGAGAGAAGATCTAGTCTAACTAGAATTCTCCCCATGTAATCTTAGTAGCAGTATTATCATGTAATCCTACTAAGAACTCTCATTGTAAACCAACTAGGATTCTGACCTCCTGACTATATAAAGGAGGGTAGGGTTCCTAGAGAGAAGATAACAACTTCTACGACACAATCAATACAACGCCAGGGCTAACGCCGACTGGACGTAGGGCTATTACTCGACCACAGTCGAGGGCCTGAACCAGGATAAATCGACTGTCTCTTGCGTTCACCGTCGAGTTCTTGCAAACGCCGATACCCCTTCGAACAAATCACCGTCCCGAGTACCCCGTGACGGGTTACCGGTGGTAAAACATCGACAGCTGACGACGCCCGGTAGGGGCTTTCGGCGAAATTGCATCCAAGAGCTCGATGGACCTCAATAACATGATCTTCTCGACGGGATCAACTTTCATCTTTGGCTCATGGATCTGCGAGGCAGACGACAATGGCAAGCTTCAAAGTCGTCTCCTCGAAGATTCGAAACACCATGAAGACTATTCTATTCCAGCGACTACAACGGACCAAATCTCTCGAAGATTCACGTAACTCATGGTGTCCGATTCAACTCGGGTTTCGCGGCTTTGCGCATCGGACTCGAATTCAAGCTCTGCTTCCGAGGCAGAGTCTTATCCAAGTTCTTTCGAAAAACCGAGTTCTTTTCCGATGGGGCTCCAGAACGCGGCCTCGTCATATCAAGAAAACAACTCGGAGAACACTCAGAGTCTTTTCAAGAAGTCAGGTCTTCTTCCGTTCGGACTCCACAACATGGCAAAGGCTTATCAGGCACGGCTCGAAGGATCCCTCAATCCGGTACTTAGAATATCACTAAAAGGAGCTCAGGAAGGTCTCATACTGACTATAACATCTCAAGACTGCATCGACCATTGGTCGGGCTCTGTTCCTGAGGACAGCGATACCCGACTAGACGACACAACGACGACCGCTATTCTACCTTACCAAGAAAGAGACTCGATCTGCGACCTTGAGGCCTCTACTAAAGTTATCAGCAACTCCGACAGTATGGAAACTAACGCCAATAACAGAATAGTTCACGCACAAGAAGTACTCATGGTTCGCCGTCCTCGGTCACCATTGGTCCCCTCAGAAACGCCCGATGTTAGGTCATCGGATGAATCAGAATCCAACATATCACCTTTTGCCCAGAGCTACGATGGTGAAACCGAGAATCAGAAACAAGCTAGAGAAAGAAAAAACAAGTTGAAGCAAGGACGCCAACACCGTGCTAGGCAGCGCAGGGAAGCCTGGATCACATACGAGTCAGAGTTGGACCGAATACGACAGAAGAAGATCACAACGAGAAGTCAAAGAAAGACGAAGACATGATGCTATACATTTTGGCAACTTCTACTGTGGTCAGCACGACGATAGTCGTGGAAAGGGAAGAAGAAGCGCGCGTATATAAAGTACAACGACCCGTATACTACATCAGCGAAGTACTGTCAGAATCTAAAATCTGGTACCCGCATGTGCAAAAACTACTGTATGCCCTATTGATCGCTTCACGCAAGCTCCGCCACTATTTTGAAAGCCACAAGATCACCGTGGTGACAAACTTCCCGCTCAGAGACATCTTGACAACAGAGACACAACAGGGCGCATATCAAAGTGGACAGTTGAACTTGGTGCTCTCAACATCGATTTCACCCCACGGAAAGCAATCAAATCTCAAGCCCTTGCCGATTTTGTTGCCGAGTGGACAGAGATTCAACAACCTATGTCAAATACAATCCTTGACCACTAAAAGATGTACTTTGATGGATCACTCAAGCTAGGCAGAGCCGGTGCGGGTGTTCTCCTAATCTCTCTAGACAGAAAACAACTCAAGTATGTCCTTCAGATATTATGGCAAGCTACAAACAACGAAGCAGAATACGAAGCTCTCATTCACGGGCTACGAGTGGCAATTACTCTCGGAATCAAGCGATTACTCGTATACGACGATTCGGCAGTAGTCATCAACCAAGTCAATAAAGACCGGGACTGCACCAAAGAAAACATGGGTGCCTACTGCGCCGAAATCAGAAAACTCGAAAAACATTTCCAAGGATTAGAAATTCTACATGTCCTGCGTGATTCCAACATTGTGGCAGATGTCCTCGCCAAGCTCGGATCAGACAGGGCAAAGGTCCCACCCGGCGTATTCATAGAGGAGTTATCAGCTCCTTCTATCAAATAACCCGGTGAGAAAACCCTAGAACTCACAGCCAAAGGCAACCAGATTCTGGTAATCAACACTTCTTGGACACAAGCTTTTATTGATTATATCAAAGAGAATAAGTTGCCAGCTGATAAAGAGGAAGCTACCTGAGTTGTTCGTAGAAGCAGAAACTACGTCCTAGTGGGGGACAAGCTCTATAGAAGAGCTGCATCGTTAGGAGTACTCCTAAAATGTGTCTCGTTTCAAGAAGGCAGAGAAATCCTAGACGAAATACACTCAGGTTGCTGCGGAAATCACGCCGCTTCAAGAACCCTAGTCGGCAAAGCTTTCCGCACCGGATTCTACTGGCCAACAGCTCTGAAAGACGCAAAAGAACTCATCAGAAAATGCAAAGGTTGTCAAATGTTCGCAAGACAAGCTCATGTGCTAGCTCATAACCTCATCTACACCCCACCCGCTTGGCCTTTCTCCTGCTGGGGGCTGGATCAAGTAGGACCCCTCAAGAAAGCAAAGGGCGGTTTCGAATACATCTTCGTGGCAATTGACAAGTTCACCAAGTGGATCGAATACAAACCACTCGCAAAATACAGCGCAACCAGAGCAGTTGAGTTTATCCAAGACATTATGCACCGCTTCGGCATGCCCAATTGAATCATCACAGATTTAGGCTCTCCCTTTACAGCCATAGAGTTCAAAAGTTGGGCGTAGGATTGTGGTTTCGGCATAGATTACGCATCAGTCGCACATTCAGAAGCCAACGGACAGGTAGAAAGAACCAATGGACTCATACTAGCCGGGTTGAAACCAAGACTGTATGAAGAGCTAGCAGACTATGGATCAAAGTGGATTGAAGAATTGCCCAAAGTAGTATGGGGGCTACGGACTCAAATAAGCAGAGCTACCGGATACTCGCCTTTCTTTCTAGTTTACGGATCAGAAGCTGTACTACCTGCCGACTTGATTTGGACATCACCAAGGATAGAACAGTATGACAAAGGAGAAGCAGAACACACCAAGAGATTAGAACTTGACACTACAGAAGAAGTCAGGGTAAACATTACCCTTCAATCAGCAAGATACCTCCAGGGATTAAGACGCCACTACAACAAGAATACCCAGCCTCGATCACTACAAGTCGGAGACCTAGTGCTAAGAAGAATACAAAAAACTGACGGATGCCATAAACTACTCAGTCCATGGGAAGATCCTTTTATTGTCTCGAAAGTCATTGGACCAGGCACGTACAAGTTAATAACTGAAGATGAGAAAGAAGTCAGCAATACATGACACATCAGCCAACTAAGAAGATTCTACGCATGAAAACAACTCAAGGGAGAATACATATACAAACCACAAGAGATCAACGTTCATGGCCAATAAAGATGTTGTCCCTCAACAAAATATGTATTATGGCTTATCAAACGATCATGATCAATAAAGATGGTTTTCCGGCAACATACGTCTTATGATGGCTAACCTCAAGTTGTTTCTAAAGAGCAAAATGGCTGAAACACGCCTGAGCCTATCGACCGAGAGCGAAATAGCTGAAAAGATGCTTGAGCCCGCCGATGAGGGTAGCTAATAAGCTAACACCCGAATCAAAGAGTAAAATGGCTGAAACATGCCTGAGCCTACCAGCCGAGTGCAAAATAGCTAAAAAGATGCTTGAGCCCGCCGATGAGGGTAGCTAATAAGCTAACACCCGAACCAAAGAACAAAATGGCTGAAACACGCCTGAGCCTACCGGCCGAGAGCAAAATAGCTGAAAAGATGCTTGAGCCCGCCGATGAGGGTAGCTAATAAGCTAACACTCGAACCAAAGAGCAAAATGGCTGAAACATGCCTGAGCCTACCGGCCGAGAGCAAAATAGCTGAAAAGATGCTTGAGCCCGCCGATGAGGGTAG